AAGTATGCGTTTCAACAATGCTTGGAACAAATCATGTCAATACTGACATTAAGTGGGATGAAATGAAACCTGTCCTTTGTTTTCCTGTCCCTAGAGCAAATGTCAAAAGGAAGCAGTCAAATGTTTTTGGAAAATAAATATTAGTATTTTTATTTTTTCTTGAAATGGGCTCAAGATTTGAATAAAAAAGTTTTCAATATGAGCATGAGAGTGAGAATAAGGGGGAAAAAAATCTAATGGCCTTTCAAATCCATCAGTCGGGCACCTAAGGGGCATTGTGTGTATGAACTTTATCCACCCCACACACTCTGTTTGAGCCACATTAGCTACTATCCCTCTCTGAACCGCTCTGACTGACTGACAGAAAAACCTCTGCTGGCACATGCTGGAGAAAAACAGCAGCCTTCGGGTCATTCATCTCAACAGAAATAAAAGCATTTATGGCAGGCGAGCCGTGTAAGCCAGCAAACTTGCCTCAAGTCAAGCTAAACCAAGCATGCTAGAGAGTCATGGGAAAGACATTTTTAATGGACCCATAAGCACATGCTCATCTGATAAATAAATATGCATGCCAAGCTTTCTAGTAAATGCTGATATAATATCTGGATCAAGAAAATTCGTACAAATTCTATACTATTTCTGGTAAATTAATTAGAAACTCTACAAACAAACAAACAAAAATCAATATTATTTAGCGATTTCGTAAAGATTACATTTAACGTTCAGTCACGTGTTATTTAATTATTGTTTTTAGAGATGAATTTTAGTGTTAGATGATCTAAATGTAAAATTAGGTGAAATTACGATGCACAATTAAATATTCAATATCAAGCCATAATAAAAATAAAATAAATCTCCAACATTGGCAGAAAATAGATATGTTAATGATAAACGTTAAATCATTGCTGCATTTGAGCCAAGCTGAGAGTTATAAAAGATGTTTGGGTCCCGTGCAAGAACTAGAGCAACACAGATGTGCACAAGGCTTCAGTCCAGCCCCTGCACGTGGGAGGAGGACAGCCCCTGGTTACAACAGGCTCCTTTTCTTAGATATATCAGAAATAGAAACAGAATGGAACATAATTTTTTTTTAAATCCACATATTTGTGGCTATATTGGGGCGTCACTAAGCAGAGTTTTATACATAAGCTGCCAATGAAACACCACCGCTGACTAGACTCACACACTCAACAAATTTAAAGGGACACCCATCTAAAACTGATATGAAAGCCAAGCCAAGGCGTTGTCGTAGAATATGATGCATCATACTTCACATAACCGCATGGAACAGAGATGGGATGTCTGTCTGTAGTCAAGGCGTTCCATATGCTATCTATAGGTAACAGTAAAAATATCAAAAGAATCTCTGCTTAGATAAATGCACAGATGTGTCTGCAAAATGCAAATATTAAAGCCTCACACACACTCATGTGATTTAGCCCTTCAAGATGGTAACAGAATTTAGTTTCACAACAACAACAAAAAAAAAGGTCGGTTGAAAGCTGTAGGCTTTCTTGGGCTGCAAATACAAGAATCAAACTACAAAGAACATCACCTGCATGCAAATGATGCACTTTGAATTATTTCAATGGAGATATTTACAGTAAACATCACACCAATTTGACAGATTTGTGACTGACATGGATTCAGAAATAGAAAATGACATTATTAGAGCATTTAGTCAACAAGGACAAGGTTTAAAGTTAGTCAATGCAGTGACAATTTATCCACATTCATAAAAATAAAGGTTCCAAAAGGGTTGGTTTTTTTTCAGTGATGCCATAGAAGAATTATGGGTTCCCCAAAGAACCTTATAGTCAACAGTTCTTAAAAAAATACTCATAGTTTTATAAATGTGCAATAATCTAAAGAATCCTATTCCACTATAAAGAACCTTTTGTGGAATGAAAATTGATGTTAAATTAAAAGTTCTCCATAGTACAAGAGTGCATGTCAATTTATTCCTGAAAGTCATTTTTAATAGCTACAAAAAAACTCCTTTATTGAAAGGATACAGATAAATTTCACAAAAAAAAAAAAAACATTTGTGACAACATGCCCCTGTTGCAGAATATGTCACAATATATGGGTTAGTTATCGCAATTGAACTGGTCATTCAACATTATAGTCTGTAATAGGCTTTCTAGTAAATTCCAAACATAGAACAAACCACAAAACTGAACGTAAAAATTTTTTAAATTCTATACACTGTTTGGGTACAAATAGCTAATTGTAGAGAATGCAGTTAAAACTTTTAATTAAAATATATCATCTTTAACACAGCAGATAACTACTACGCAAGTAAAAACTACACAACACACGTTTGTTATAGACTCGACTCAAAACCATATAGGTACTGATATATATCCCCTTTATCTTTTTGACAACTTTCCCCATTCACAAAAGTTCATTTTAAAAGAGAAATATGTTTCTGTAGACTGCATAGCTAAAAAGTGACATGTTCTGTATGTTTTTTTGTTTTGTTTTTTTCAGTCCAGATCACAGGTGAGGATGAAGTAAAGGAAACTCATGTAACAGCAGCTCTTGTTCTTCTGTGGCTACGTGGAATGTGTGAATCACTTCTTCACAAACACAACTGTGCCTTCTGCTCTTCAAATCATACCTTATGTTTCTTACTATTTCTTAAATAGTTTAAAATATACCTTGTGGTTTGTGTTAAGTATTGTACAATACCTCTAAACATCACTTTTGCGATCCAGTTTTCTGAATTTAACCTCATGCACATGTACATAAATGCTGTTTGTAATCAATCCCTTAGGCTATGGAAATATTACTACGTGTGAAGACATGATAATATAATAGCATAACTACGCACAAAAACTAACTTTTGAAAATTTCTGTCATGTACTTTTAACGACAAAAAAAAAGATATTTTGACACAATTACAAGCAAGTTTGCTACTCGAGCAAGTTTAGAAAAGCCAAGTAAATTCACAGAGAACAAATACTTGTAAGTTATTTTAACAAAAAGTATGTTGAGAATGCTTACCAAATTTTGGACTGCCGTCAAAAGTATGAAAATGTGATCTTTTCCTTGCTTTTTTGTAATGTTTTTACGAGATTTGCTCTTTCCGTAGTTGGTGTTCCCACCTCGCCAGCGCCATGTCGACAATGGAAGTGGGAATGTGTGGGACGTCATTGGCAGGGAACGTTACGTCCTACTACGGCGAAGGCTTGTTGCATAATATTCATAAGCCATGTCTTCACCATTGGATGGTCACCGAGCAACCTAATTAATATTCAGTATACATTTTTTTTTTAAATATATATATTTTTCATTAGAATGCAAGTTGCAAACATACAGGCATCACAGTTCGTAAACAAATATTATACAGCGAAAAATAAATACACAGCAGAATAAAGTTAATATTAATAATAAATTAAAATTAAAAAAATTAAATAAATAAAAATAATAATACATAGCTTACATAGACAGACTTACAAACTTCCTTATCTATAAAAATAGAGATATTTTCCTAATTTTTAATTGAACATTTTAGAGTCTATTTCAGTTGCTGACATAGCTTTCTTATTTTTAACTCCACTATACAGTTTTTCGACACAAGAAGGCTATCATATTGCGTCACCGCTACCTAATTAATATTCAAAATGAGCCTTCGCCATAGTAGCATTAGTAACGTTTACCGTAGCCTGTGTTTGCGGTGGCAATACATGTGAGGCTATATTGTGAAAATGACAACACAAATATGGTGAAACAATAAACAACAACTTTTAACCACTTTTGGAGTGTTCGTCATAAATCAACTGCTGAGGTTTAGGGCTTAGGATTTATTACACTCATATTAGCCTACACTCATTTACACTCATATTTACACGCATAAAATCTTTTTTTTTTTTTTTTTTTTTTGTCTCACTAATATAGCCTACTGTAATCAACATGACTGAGTGTCACAGCAAAGTAGAGAATAAAGAATATTCTGTTCAGATCTCTTTATTGTCCTGGCATTTAGTCTCAGCCTACTACTTACTGTATCAGTCTTATTATCAAATCTATTGGGTCAAAACAGTATTCCTCCAAATCAAGTCAGTTTTTCACACTGACCTCAGGGAACTGAAGCTGTGATAGCAAGTCATAATAGAAAAGAAACCTTGATTGCATGAAAAAGGCCTTCTCCCGTGCGGCCTCATGGGATAGTAAAGTGTCCAGCACACTTCAGAATCTCGTCGGAAGAAGTAGGTCCACATACTTTTTGCTTAGCTTTTTATGAGTAGGCCTACTGTAAATTCAACATACTTTTTTGTCAATACTATTTTTTTAGCTGCAAGTATAGGATTTTGGTTGCACACTAAACATATAAGAACCCATACAATTAAAAAAAACATATAATAAAATGAATTTGCAAATTCACATTGAAAAAAGATAGCCTACATTGTGATTGGATTAAAAAAATAATATGGTGTTTGTTATGCCATTATTTCATTATTGGAAATCAATTACATAAATAAACATGTAATATACATCTAATATTAGAATTAGAACTAATTTGAGTGTCATTGACTGTGTTCATTTATAGGTCATCAATTCAAACTAAATAGACTGAATAATGCATGAACTTCTCATTCCCAAAACAGTCCCATCACAGTCAGTGCTGCATCAACATGACCTCCTTAAAGGGACAGTTCACAAGGGATTGAAACTTGTCTGTCCAGAAAAGTTATTAAAGACATTGTTAAAATAGTTCAAGTGACACAGTGGCTCAATCTTAAGCTTATCAAGTGACTAGAATATTTTTTGCGATCAAAAAATAAAATAAATAAATAACTTTATTCAACTATTAATTTCCTTCTGTGTGGGCCTCTGACGTGAGTAGAACAGCAGCGCCTCTGTGTTGTACGTCACACGTTGGCTCACTATTGTCCGACGCTGGTCACTTGTGAGATTCAATCCCTTAGAAGCCTATGGAGGAGTGATCCATCTCTCAGATTTAATCAAAAATATCTTAATTTGTGTTCCGAAGATGAACGAAAGTCTTACGAGGTTGGAACATGAGGGTGAGTAATAACTGACAGAATTTTCATTTTTGGGTGAACTTAATATTAAAAGTCCAACAGTTTTATACAGTGTGGCCTTTGAGAGGCCTCTCCATCTTCACTATGCTTGGATCACACTCCAACATCTCTCGGATCCATTCGTCATTCAGTGCACCTTCAATGAATTCATCTTGGCTGATTATGGCTATAGAAACGGGAAGACAAAAAAATGACATAACTTTCTGTAAACTTTTATTTGCGCTGGTACAGAAATTGTGGAGACTTCGAAATGACTTGAGGTACTTCAATGAGATAGCAATGTACCATTGTTATCTTTGTCCAGCCGTACAAATATCCTATTGGTGCACTCTTCTGCTGTGAGCGGGTTAGGTTTGGTCAGTGATGCTGCGACGCTCATCTTGTACACAGCCTGAGAACAGCATTTAATTGTGATTGTATATTACCCTCTAGTGGGCAAATCCGGAATCGAGAAACACCATTTCGAATTTGATTTGATGGTAAAATCAAATTAGAATAGCAAGTAATGGAGTTTAACTATAATCACTTACTTGCATGATTTCAAGCATTTCTGACCGTGTGATGGCTCCATCTTTATCTTTGTCGTAGAGTTTGAAGGACCAGCGCAATTTCTCCACCGTTGTGCCCTCGATCAACATGCTGATAGCCGTCACATATTCTCTGAAGTCCACAACTCCATCCTGTTAGGTGGCAATCATATTCACACTTTTTAGACAAATAATGAGAAATTGTGGAGGAGTGAAAAGCATTTTTGTTAGGATTTGGAACTAATCTTGTATCAAATTCTCTTAAAATTATATATTTAAGCATGTGTAAGCTAGTATGTAATAGCTCATAACATAACATGCTTGTTTTTTGTTTGTTTTTTTCAACATGTGTTCGAATATTTTTTGGGTCCACTTTTCTTACAAACATGAACCATCTTATTAATTTTAAAAAATATTATGCTCTGTAAAAAAGGACAAGAGCCAGTAGCCTGTCTATGTCGTGCATGTCTCTTTGTTACACCTCCTTTTACAAGTGAGCATGCATGTTTTGTAAAGGCAGTGTGAAAGATGATTCTATTTAAAACATCAGGCTTAAAACATCATCTGTGTCAGGCCTCAAAGCTTATTTGGTTTTGAGCTGTGTAATACCCCATTGTTATCTAGTGTGCGGAATATCTGCTCTGCATACTCCGCTGACTCTTTTCCCACGGTTCCATTGCAGAAATGACGTCGGAACTCATGGAGGGTGATCAGTCCACTGGGACACTCATTCAGGAATTTCCTGCCAGACATAAGCACAAAGTGGACACATTTTATAAAATATTTAGGTTTTTTTTTTTGTATATGTACATATAGCTATATATATATAGCTATATACACACACACACACACACACACACACACACACACACATATATATATATATATATATATATATATATATATATATAAACACATATATATACATACATACACACATATATACATATATCTATATATATATCTTATATATATATCTATATATCTATATATATATATATATATATATATATATACATACACACACACACACACATACACACACACACACACACACACACACACACACACACACACATATATATATATATATATATATATATATATATATGAAGAGTTCAGATGCAAAAGCCTCTAAGTGCCATTTGAATTTTTCTTCTTTAATGATGATTTTTATCAAACTTGTATATTTAAGTTCAGTAATTTCACTTAAATGGCAATGATAATTACCTATTAATTGTTATTTAAGTGAAATTACTGAACTTAAATATACAAGTTTGATAAAAATCATCATTAAAGAAGAAAAATTCAAATGGCATTTAGAGGCTTTTGCATCTGAACTCTTCATATATATATATATATGACCTGAATGAAAGGCTCATTAATATGCAGATATTTTTCTCTCTCAGGTGAGAATCACCTAATTATACATGATGGGGTTGTGCTATGAGAATGAAAAGGCAGGATGATTTTCAGATTATTTGAAGAAAAAACTCTTGGCAACAACATCCATTTGTCAAAAGTCTTGTGGACACATATTTAGTATGTGTTTTGTGGCCTTATTTCAGAAACTTTCAATTTTTTGTTTTTTTCAATAACCACGCATAAACAATATTCTCTCAAAAATAGAAACAAGTACATACATGTTGCTCACATATTCTGGTAGCTCTGTTTGTGCTAAATATAGTGCAATTTCACCTGTGCCATTAATAAGCAAAAGAAAAAAGCACAAACGTCGGGGCAGGTCAAAACAACTCAAGGACCCCAAAAACAACTTAGACCCCAGAGGGTTAAAGGTATAATCCAGTTAAAGGTATATTAATACAAAAATAAGAACATATAGAATAATACTTAAAGTGCAGAAATAATATATAAATCGTAAACGACAAGTTAAGTTCACTTAAAAGTAGGCCTATACAATTCTTGCCTAAACAACTAACAGTATAAAACAACTAATATACGTCAAAGTGTACTTTCATTAATTAAAAAATGTGGAACAAGTATTAATTTAAATCATCAGTATATCTATAAGTTCACTTGTAGTTGCAGTACAAAAAAACTATTATATATATATTATGTAAAGTAGTAATGAATAGCACTGACACATGATAACTTTAAGACGCTGTGTTCGGTCAGCATGATTTCTAGAACAAAGCAACATTATGAACGATTAAAAAAAAGCAATGGTCTTACACACACCATGAACTGAAATGTTCCAGGAAAAAGACTGGCTACAGTAACTCGGAATTAAACAAGCAGATGACCTACTTATGCTGAGATAGAGTTTATTGGGTTTTACAGTCATGGTTGGCATTTTATGGCCTATATAATACAAATCTTCAGGATGACCCATTCTTCAGCTGTGTAATTACTCTCCAATAATAAAAACCCAGAATGGGGTCGGGGTTGTCTTGTATAAAAACATCTCAGATGACATGCATGTATCCTATTTTCCCCTAAAGACCAGCTGCTGTCATAGTAGTCACCTAGTTAATAATTTGCAAACTTACCTGAACCATTCATAAAGCTCGGTGACGTAGGTACCACCTTTTCTGCAGGGTAAGGTTGCAGTCTGTCCCATCTTTATCAGTGCAACAAAATCAACAAGGGCAGAGGCGCATATATACGTAGCAAAGCCCAGCTTACTTCTCTCTTACTTAATCATTCTTACCAAGACCCTTCTGCATCTGTGAAATTAAACTAAAGTAATCTCCCTGCAGGAGGGCCACAGGCAGGTGAGTGACACACGTTAATGACCTCAAAGACACACAGTGACACTTGAAATCCACTAGCTTCTCCAGCAGCAGTTGAGGATTATGCAGAACATTATATAAAACATTATTTATTTGCAGCTACATTTTTTATTTGAAGCATCAAGTGTCAGTTGCTTGTGAGCGGACTTGTTCTGGTGACCTAATTAACAGTAAGGGCCATTTTGTTGGGCAAAACTTCATCATTTGAGTTAGTATTGTTCTCACAATATGCTCAACAGCTTAAACAAGAAGTGTGAAGGTGCGATTTGAATGTGCTTTTGTTTTTCCATCTGGAAAAAAATGGAATGAGAGGAAGCATATTTTGCTGAAATGTAATTCAAAGATATTGGAGGAAAATCATTAGTCAAGTGCTGATCCAATTTATTCGCTATATAATAAACAAACTATTATGTAAATGTGTCAATATTCATTTAAAATTAATAACATTTTAAATGATTACATTTCAATTAAGTTCAGCCCTAAATAAATAAAATTTATATTTGCATCAAAATATGATATATTGAGCAAGTATAGACATTTTTTTTTCCCTAAATCAAAATGCTGGAAAAAAAATGCAGCTGAAATGACCATCCAGAAACTGAAGAACACACTTTCAGAGTCGTTTCACACTTTTCTATCATAATGTACAGTGGAATTTCTGTGATCTCCAAGCTGAATTTTCAGCATCATTACTCCAGTCTTCACTGTCACATGATCCTTCATATCCAATCAATCTAAAATTCTGATTTGTACGGAAGCGTATTGCATTCACTTGAGGAATCAAAATCTACTCTGTTTTTCTGAATTAATTAAATTATTAAATGAAAGTAAATTATGAGATAATTTTTCATGGAAAAAGTTTTTGCGGTTTTTCTTGATTAATGAATTAATTATCTCAGGAATTTGAGAAATTTTCATGGAAAAAGTTTTTGCTGTTTTTCTGAATTAACGAGTTAATTATCTCAGAATTATGAGATAATTTTTCATGGAAAAAAGTTTTTGCTGTTTTTCTGAATTAATGAGTTAATTATCTCAGAATTATGAGATAATTTTTCATGGAAAAAAGTATTTGCTCTGTTTTTCTGAATTGACGAGTTAATTATCTCGGAATTACTAGAGATTATTTTTCATGGAAAAAAGTTTTTGCTCTGTTTTTCTGAAATTGATGAGTTAATTATGAAATAATTTTTCCATGGAAAAAAGTTTTTGCTGTTTTTCTGAATTAACGAGTTAATCATCTCAGAATTATGAGAATTTTTCGTGGGGAAAAGTTTTTGCTCTGTTTTTCTGAATTGACGAGTTAATTATCTCAGAATTGTGAGATCATTTTTCATGGAAAAAAGTTTTTGCTCTTTTTTTTCTGAATTGACGAGTTAATTATCTCAGAATTGTGAGATCATTTTTCATGGAAAAAGTTTTTGCTCTTTTTTTCTGAAGTGATGAGTTATTTTTCTCAGAATTACAAGACTTTTTCATGGAAAAAAAGTTTTTGCTCTGTTTTTCTGAATTGACGAGTTAATTATCTCAGAATTACAAGATCATTTTTCATGAAAAAACGTTTTCAGAAAAACAAAGCAATATTTTTTTCCATTAAAATTATCTTGTAATTCTGAGATAATTCTGAGAAATTGAGATAATTAACTCGTTAATTCAGAAAAACAGTCGATTTTTTTTCAAGTGAATGCAATACGCTTCCGTAGATTTGATGCCAACATTTATCATTCTAAATGCTGAAAACGATTGTTATTTAATTTTTTTTGCAGAAACTGATACATTATTTTTCAAGATTCTATGATGAATAGAAAGATTTAAAAAAGTTGAAATTGAATGCATCCTCCCTGAATAAAAGCATCAATTGCATCTTACAAACAGTACTGTTTAAACATACAAGCAAGTGTTTCAATTTTGCATTAGCAAGGGATTTTCAACAAATGAAAGACCAAGACAGATGTACAGGAAACTAATGTTGTTTATTTAAAGAATCTTTTTTCATGTCAATCTGGAGAGACAGATTCTCTGCTACTAACCAGACTTGTTGACAGCAGCAGCGATGGCATCTTGATAAACAGAGGAGAAGGAAATAAGCAAAAGACAAAAAGGAGCCTCCCTGGACGAGTCCCCCCGTTTCCACAACAGCCTTTTTCAAAGGCTCAGTCAGAGCGACGATGAGGCGCACACATGCAGATCTGGTGGCTTGACCCAACGGCTGCTCCTCGACTGAGATATTCACGGAAATGATGAACAGTCTTCAAAGTATCCAAACCCATTTCATCACACACTCAACAATCAAAGAGAAACAGAACAACATACATGTCTTATAAGGCAAAAAACCTTTATCCAAAACCATTAGACGGCAAACAGAACAACAAAACAAGAAAAGCAAAGGGTACACAAAAGGCATGCATGAATGTACTGGAACATAAAATCAAGAAATTCTACAAGCTATGTAAAGAGAGAGAGAGATCTGAAATTAAAACAAAAGCGACAGAAGAAAAGGTCTGTGGTTTAAACTCACGTACAGTACTTGATTTCTGCCAAGTGCAACAGCAGAAAGACACTCCAAAGAACAAAGTCACATTAAAAACCAGTGACGCTATGTGGGAGAGTGGGTGGTAATAAAAAAAATAAAAATAAAAAAAATCACAATTTTCATTTTACCTATTTTAGGATCAGCCTGCAGTTATGGCACAGCTCAACGCTCGTACATCGGGACGAACAAAGCAGCTGTTCCTGTGCCTAAGGCTGAAACTGCCCCATCAAAACCTGGACAAGAATTGTGATTGGCCAACACATCCAACCACTAGCACTTACAGTTGATCCCATGAAATTTCAGTCTGGTTTATAGAAATTACACTTTTGTAAGTCGGGGCAATACGATACGCTTACGAAACCAATCGTTGGGAAAGCAATGGATCGTGGCAAGACAACAAAAACCCATTAAGTTCACATCATCTAGCAGGATTTCATTTCCACTGGATGAGTTCCTCCCTTCAAGTAAGCTCTTGGCAGCATATGGCAGAGCAGGCAATGATATGAAGACATTTTTAAAAGCAGCTCACACCATAGTCACAGAATCACAAGACATCTGACAGCACAGGGCAGCGGAGCGTTAACGGTACTTGAAATAGGTCTATATGCGGTTAAATTGCTTTGGTATATTTGGACAAAATCGTCCATTTCCATCACCAGGTCAAGAGATTTCTGTGGCACATATGCACCGTCACAGTAAATCAGTTCAGTACGTTGACCGCCTGATTTAAAGGTCACCAGAAACAAGGGAAGCAAAACTTTGGAAGAAAATGTGTAAAGCCAGGCCGAAATGCGAATTCACTGAGCTTGAACGATTACATTTACATTTATTCATTTAGCTGACGCTTTTATCCAAAGCGACTTACAATTGCTATATATGTCAGAGGTCGCACGCCTCTGGAGCATCCACTGCGCCATCACCACCCCTTTTCTCACCATCCCGATTACCCGAGAGAAATTCTTTTGGAAAATGTTTGTTACAAAAGAGTCCGAAACAGAGAAAGAGAGAGGGGATCAGTATCCCCAAGGACGTGCATATGCAAATATGAACTCAATTATAATATAAAAAACAGGGAATTGTCATAAGAAAGGGCATTATTCAATCATTTTAACAGCCTATGAAGATCGTTTGACCAAAACGAGGTGTCATGTTTTCGAGGCTGAAATCTGCAGTGGACATAGTCTTTTGATAGATCTATTCAAAGATTACTCTAATACAAGTTACAAACATGTTGTTAGGTCTCTTGCCTTAGGTTAAAGTAAGAGTTCAGCCAAAAATGACATTTCCTTGACCTTCTTGTTCTAAACATGCGTTTTCATTTTTCTTTCCATACGGCTGATATAGTACACAACTTTAAATCTGAACAGATTTTAAATTACTAGGCATCACACACTTGCCGACTTTGTAAATGGTTACAGAACAAACAACGTCATACGCTGAACGACTGATGAACCCGCTCTACCAGACTTTAAAGTCATCCTGAACACAACGAAATCATGCAGAAACGTGCCTCATTGCTAGGAGTAAGATAATTAAAAGAATGTGCTCTAAAAATGGCTCAAAATATCAAACAAGCTTCATATCCTCCGACTGCATGGAATCATAGTAAGATATCTGTGCCCATCATACACTATGCAATTTTCTTTGAAATCTCTCAACCAGTAGTTAACCTCCAGACTGTAAATACAACAGTTGTATAGTGTATTCCAGCCTTAAAGTAAGGTAAAAACGCAACACTGAAACCAAGAAAATGTCACAAATGAGATCTACAGAGGTGGAAGTTGTATTTAAATTAGCGTACAGATAGTCCTCATTTAAGCTTGACATCCCCTGGCCTGGTCACAACTAACTATCATTACTTGGAAAAAAAGGGCCATCAACATTCTTCTAATTCCAAACTTGTTCCATAAAAGAAAGTCGCACAAGTTTGGAAAAAACATGAGGGTGAGTAATTGATTATAGATGCTCATTTTAGGGTTAATTATACTTTTAAAAAGTAGGTTACCATTATCATGATTTCATGTTTGGATTTATTATAAATCTTGGCTTGAAGCAAGAACTAGCTGCAACCATCTCTCCCCATTACTCTTATGGTTGAGTTTTACACTATACAAAGTGACTGTTAGTATTTAGAAGTTTAGTAGAAATAAACTTATTCCCATAATTACATTATGGCATATAATTCTAAAATACAAAGTTTAAAAAAAACAATCACCTACTAAATGCTTCTCACACGAGCATTTTATACCTCTTTGCACATAACTGAACAAGACCTAATGAAAGAATGAAGCCAGAAACCTTTAACACATCTTAACACAAGTGTCTAAAAAGTGGCACTTGGCTGATCCGACAAAGGATTTTGAGACTGGGTTTCCATGAATTGTTCCCTGAGAGACCCTGCCCTTATTTGCGGATAACTTCCAATTTCCAATCACCATTTTACCGGTTGCTGATCTCCATCCAGGCATTCCTTCAGAACAGAAGATCTAATTATACACCTGAAGGGGAGAAAACTGGGAACATTTCCCCAGATCCTCTAAATCTATAATACAGCATACTCACTGGGGCAATCAGTAAAAAAAAGTTGTCCCAGGCCCTTTCAATTGTAGTGACGGCCCTATTTCAAGAGTAGCGTAGCCCTGGCAGGTCAGACTAAGGTCTGACAGAAAAGCACACATTCACACACAGATTTGTAGACTGGAGAGGAAAAAAAAAATGTCAGGCCTAACGGTGAGCCTCAAATTTCCAATATTTCCACACAGTATTTTCAAGTAGTTCTGTTTTACAAAGGACCACAAGTGCTTACCAATATCCCTCCCCATGGTTCCACTCTTGTTCATCATGAAACACTCAATTCAAGACAATTTCTGCTCTAAAAGGGAATAAAAACTACCAGGCTTCCCTTGCCAAAGGAATCCTATGATGTTTTTTTATATATATATATATACACATATATATTTAATTAAAAAAATCAGTCCAGCTTTGCCTCAAAGCATTCATGTACAGTTCAAGTGTTGATTGACTAAGGAAACAATTTTGAAATCCTCACGCCACTGGATCACAGTGGACCATTTTAGTTGCCTTGTGGCTTGGCTGAGGTATGTGTTCCTCAACCTGGCAAAACAGGCCAATAACGTCTCTCCTTTCTGATCCATGCCAAGGGGTAAGAGTAACCTCAGAGCTGAGATGAAGAAATGCACACCAGACCACATAAAACCTGGTCATGTTGCTTAAGGAACTCAGGTTAAGGTACTCCGAGAGACCCCCATCCTTTTCTGTTCTCCTTCACCAAGGCCAGCCATCAGATAACCTGCCACGCAGCTTGTCCATACGCATTTAAAAACACTAATAAATTAAAAAGTCAGAAGTCAAAGAATTGTCGAAGGCTGGCCGCCTAGTGAAAATTAATGGATGGTTCATTTTAAAAAGCTCCAGATAAGACGGGTCTTTAAAAGAAAAAAAAAAATTAGAGCTGTGTGTTCACAGAGACCAGTGCGCCTCGTCAAAGTCCACGGCCTCACCCAGGTTGGCATCGGTCTCCAGTAAGCTCATAATGACTGCCATGGCTGCCTCATCAGTGCTTAGAGCGGCCAACCCAGGAACCCCCTCAAGATCCAACTGAGAGCTTGCCTCTGGAGGAAGAGAATGGAAAAAACTGAGTGCCATATTTTGCCATATTTCATTTGGTTAAACCAAAGTATTGCACAGTATCTTAAAGGAACACTCCGACTTTTTGGGATTTTAGCCTATTCACCTTACCCCCCAGAGTTAGATAAGTCCATACATACCTTTTTCATCTCCGTGCGTGCTATAAGTCTGTTTGACGCACCCACCGCTAGCCTAGCTTAGCACAAAGACTCGATGTGACTGGTTGCAGCTTTCATACTGATCCAAATGAGTGGCAAAATAACGCAAACGTTTTCCTATTTACATGTTGTGATTTGTATAGTCACATAATGTACAAATAACAAAGTCAAATGAGACAGACATCTTTTAACCGTATAAAACCTGGGAACTATTCTCTGAAGGCGAAGCACTGCTACTTTGACGGCGTAATAACCGCATCACCGGAGACACGCCGTGGTGAGGAGCGGAGAGTTCGTCAGAGTTTGGGTAACAGAGTCAGCAATTTATAAATAGTAAAAGCGTAGTTTAGAGTCATGGGTTTTCGCTCTATTGTAAATAGCTGCGACTGTAAACAGGGGAGGTAATACCATGTTTCACAGAATTCCAACTAAAAACGCTGACTGGATGAAGAAATGGCTAACTTACTCTGGATATTTATCCAAACACACCTAAGATTATCAAGGGACATTATGTTTGCTCGGTACATTTCAATGAGGACGACTATTTTGAAAAAATGGAATTTGCCACACGGACCATAATGTGCTGAAGGATACGGCCATCCCATCGATAGCACAGACAGGACAAGTGGATCACCTGCGGCTGAGGTAAGTGTTCCGTTATGTTTTTAGATGACCTACTGTAACAGTGCCTTTAGCCAGATCTAATGTAACGTTAGTGACACTATTATATGATTAGGGTATGAATATGTTTTTATCTTGATGCGGTGCGGACGCGCTTGGGAAAAAAAAAAAACGAGTGCGTTCACCGCGTTGAACTTGCACCCTGCGCCCGGCGTGCCTAGTAGCCTAAATTTGAAATAACCATGGAAATAACGAACTTGAGCGTGCAAAAGGGTACGATAGGCTGTGAGTTCATTGTGCAAAAACAATTTGTGCTATTACTTTCCCCTTATTCTATCCTATAGTAATGCAATACTGTATATTATATAGGCTACTGTTGAATACATTTGGTTCAGCTAATAAATTGCATAAAAAATATATTGATTCCTGTAATAATAATTATTTATTCATGTGATATTTATAAATCTGGGTGCGTTTTTGGTTGGAAATCAATGAAACATGGTACTGTATTACCTGGTCTCCCCTGTTTATTGTCACAGCTCATACAATAAAGCAAACACCCATGATAAACTATGCTTTTCTATCTAACGTTAGTAATTGCTGACTCTTTATTCCAACGCTGAGCGAAGCGAACTCTCTGTTCCTCGTCACGGTGCGTCTCAGGTGATTGTTATCACTCTGCCCAAGTAGCAGTGCTTTCCCTTCAGAAAATATAGTATTTATACGGTCAAAAGATGTCTGTGTCTCATATGGCCTTTATATTTGCACACTCTGTGACTATACAAACCACAACATGTAATTAGGAAAACGTTTGCGGCATTTTGTCACTCATTTGGATTAGTATGAAAGCTGCAACCATTCACATCCAGTCTTTGTGCTAAGCTAGGCTAGCGGTGGGTGCGTCAAACAGACTTATAGCACGCACGGAGATGAAAAAGGTATGTATGAACTTATCTAACTCTGGGGGGTAAGGTGAATAGGCTAAAGTCCTAAAAAGTCGGAGTGTTCCTTTAAGTGCAACATAATTTCAAAAATATTTCCACTCTTATTTCTAAAAACAACAGGGACAAACACATCTACATTCAATATAAGAACAACTGTAAAACAAAAGTATTGATTTTAGTTTTTAATGACTTTGTCTTTAGTCAACAGCATAGATTTAAAATTTGTCCCAATTATCATTCATCTGACATGACAAAAATATTTATCAGCATTTTACTAACGAATCATCATATATACACTACTAGTCAAAAGTTTTAGATCGGTAAGATTTTTTATGTTTTTAAATAAAGTCTCTTCTGCTCACCAAGGCTGCAATTATTTGATAAAAAAAAAAAAAAAAAACAGTAATATTGTGAAATATTATTACAATTTAAAACAGCGGTTTTCTATGCGAATATAATAGTGAAGTGTAATTTTTTCCTGTGATCAAAGCTGAATTTACAGCATCATTACTCCAGTCTTCAGTGTCACATGATCCTACAGAAATTATTATAATGTGATGCTCAATAAATTTTGATTATTATCCATGTTGAAAACAGTTTTACATTTTTATTTCAGGATTCTTTGATGAATAGAAAGTTCAAAAGAACAGAATTGATCTGAAATGGAAAGCTTTTGTAACATTAATCACTACCATTCAAAAGTTTGGGGTCAGTAAGAATTTATTTTTTGGGGGAGAGAAATTAGAAAATACTTTTATTCATCAAGGATGAGGTAAATTGATCAAAAGTTACAGTAAAGACATTTATAATGTTAGAAAAGATAATATTTTAAATAAATGCTGTTCTTTTGAACTTTCTATTCATCATAGAATTTAGAAGTTTCAACATTGAAAATAATAATTTATGTTTTTTGAGCATTAAATCAGCATATTGGAATGATTTCTGAAGGATCATGTGACACTGAAACTGTGTAATCAGCAACAGTAATGATGTTAAAAATTCAGCTTTCAAATGACATTTTAAAATATATTAAAATAGAAAACAGTCATTTTAAATTGCCATAATATTTCACAATATTACTGTTTGTCTTTTTTTTGTTGTTGTTTAAATAAAGCAGCCTTGGTGAGCAGAAGAGACTAAAAAATCTTTAAAAATCTTTTAGATTTTTTACTTTAATCTGTAAAAAAAAATCTTACTGATCTAAAACTTTTGACCGGTAGTGTATATTTGATACCAAATAATATTAATAAGCATGATTATCATAGCTTGCCTGGCCATGAGTCATGAGTCATTTCCTAGAGAAATCAAAAACTGATACAATGTCTACTGTATATCACGCTGAATATAAATTGCATAAATGTAATTCAAATTACTGTATTATGAGAATAAAGAAAAAAATTATTTTACAAATACAATCCTCCCCATCCATGAAAAACCCAGACATGTTTTTGACAAGCTATAGTATCTTTAGTACCACATTGACTAAATACAATATAGTGCTGTTTTATCTACCCATGAGATTTTCCCCCGCTGTGAAGGGCCCACCCCGCGCCTCATCCTCTGAGCTTGATTTGCCAGGCATCTCTACGTCTGTTGCTTCCCCATTTGGCACCTTACAGCATGAGAAGTACAGATGTGTTAGAATGCAATAAAGCACAAAACCAGTAAACTCATTCTGAACACAGACACAATTGTTCGGCAGACTCACGTTGTTGCTGGCCAGCGCAAGAGCCAGTGGAGACTTGTCCTGCAGTACACTGAACGGACTTGTATTGCCGCTGGATGGTGAGGAGTTCATCCTTAAGAAAACAGCATGACATCAGAATTCAAAGGCCTTTTCTTTAAGGATAAGTAATATGTAGAGTACTACTATTGTCAGTGATTTAAGTATTTGAAATGAACATGATTTCTTAATGTCTAGTGACATATCAGGGCCATTTTATGATTATTTGAAATAAATTCCTACATACAGCTCTTTTAAATAATGTATGGTTATCTGCATCTTTCCGTATCTTATGTATAGTTACTTTTCAAACACCAAAAATCGCATTGAGTATGACACGCAAGCACGTTGCGCTTGAGGCCGGTAACCCTCGATAGTAGTCATGTCTCCTTCATTGCGTATTTTATATTTTGAATATATCCCTCCATTGCATATTGTAATCCATTTGCCTCGATCTGGGGGATATTGCTCTAAAAAAGGTTTACCTCTTCCCGGCATGGCAATCTGTCGCGCTGGTCATGTTTGACTATTGTAGTAACGATAACTAGCTGGTTTACCTATTATAGTCCATTATCTCATTAGCGATTTGGGTCCCTATGCATCCAGCGTAAATCATCCCTGATGCACTGGAGATCCCTGGGATGATTGGAAATTGTTGCAACTTCTTGGCATCATCTACAAAACAAAACACAAAAATTACTATCAGACCAGAGTCAGATATGTTTCAAGTTAATGATAACAGAGGCTTGCTAAACACTGGAGGGAAAATTGCTGTTTGATGTCCTTAGCAAGTGGACTTAGAAGCTGTCAGGGCATATACAAATAAAGTTAAAAAGACAATAAAAAAAAACTAACAATAAAAACAAAAAGTGATGCATCCATCTAAAAATGTGACTGGCTCTCTTTTAACCAGAAGGCTAGACTTCCATTTATACAGCTGCACATTGAATAATGTGTTGAACCCATTTGTATTTCTATTAGTCTCTTTTCCCTTGTGTATGATCTTGTAATCCAATATGTAAATTATAGTTAACCATATTTACAACATTGGTAGATCTTAATACTCACCCTCCGAGGCCTTCGAACTGCTAGGCTGTTCGGCTTTATCCCCTGATCCACCTGGATTACTTTTACTGCTGAGTCAGGTGGAAAAGAGTGGATAATAATCTGTTATCTCATCAATCTCAGAATTTGGCATCAACAGGTTGAATCTTGACATTGATACTGAGTAATTGCAAAAATGGGCTGAAAAAAAAAAAATGGTACTTACGATATAACTGTGTTGGTTGACACTATGTATTCTATTTCTTTGGTCCAGGGATTTATAAAACTAAACCACAGACTTTGTAAGGTAACGAAAGAGCCATATTTCGTTTTGAACTTATAGCAGTTTGTCTCAACCTTCTCTTTACTCCTCAGCACTGTAAAAAAAGCAAGCAACCAAAATCACATATTAAAGGGATAGTGCACCCAAAAATACAATTTTATGTCATTTACTCACAAAATTCCAATTCGATATGACTTTTTATTTCCGATAGAACACAAAAATAATGTTGAATGTATGGATCACTTATTTGCATATAATGAAAGTAAATGGGGATCCAGGTTTGAAATCTCATATTTTATATTTTGAGGAGCTTGACAGGCCCTCATTCACTTTCAGTATTTGGACGAGTGGTCAAAGAGCAAGTAAACAATGACCATTTTACACATAATAATCAGAAAAGGTATTATATGCAACATGTACTTGCACATACATGCATGTAATCCAATATAAACCTACGAGGATCTCTCTGAGGCACTGGCCTGGCGTATCTGCCATTGAAAGCTGTTCTAATGTTCTTTAGAGGTAAGACTAATGATTAATGATGGATGATGAGGATTTGGCAACTCTTGTCCATCTCTGTTCTAGGCAATCTGCCCAGTTTCTTAGAAAATACTTGGAATAAAACTCTGTTTACAGCTCCAATGTTCCTAATAGTAAGAATCTGGACATACTGTACCTTTTCTGTGTCTATCAGCCAAGTGAGGCAGGTCGTCCAGGTGGAAGTATTCATAGCAGGATGTGCCTAGCAGCTCCTGGGGTAAGTAACCTAGAATAATGGTGGCTCTGTGTGCATAATACAAATGGACAGCAGTTTCTTAAATCACATTTCTTCACTGTACATGAAACATAAAGGTGATGTGTGTCAATGTTAAATACTTTCTCCTATCACAACATGCAGAGGCAACTAAGTATTTCCCAGAGAAAGTGTAAACACTGTGGTACTATCAAAATTTGTCATTTGAGAATCTCGGGTATCCTGACATGACAGCAGTGCTGTGAGTTTGGGGAAGAACTATTTGCATTTCCAAGCCATTGCATATGATGAGAGTGTTTAAAAAAAAAACATAAATAAAAGCTGGTTTCAAAGCATTCATTATATTTGGCACACCAGAAATTATTCAGCTTAAATTATCAGCTTCAATTATCATTGAACGATTTTTAAACTTGAGCAGATTAAAAAGCTAAAAAAAAAACTAGAATGATTTTTTTCATAAATATTCTTATTATATAAAAATGTTTTTGTATTATATACTTATTATATTTAAATTTTTATTATATTTTAAATAATTTACATAGATGAAAAATACGGTTAAGTACTAATACTATTACGAAAAATGGTTTAGGATTTCCTCAAATTTTCTCTGCCAGTAAATTTCACAAATAATTACAGAAGTAATGTTGAATTAAGCATGTAATTTTGTAGTAGAAAGACTATTTTCTTGTAAATCATACTCCAATAATCCAAAAAAACATTTTTTACATTGTAGTTACTCCCCAACGTTACAACTAAATATAGTTTAACAAGTGCCAAACTAACAGTTTTGAAAAGAAAACACAAGCTGCCCTCTAGTGAGAATGTAGTGTCCACATAAAGCCAACTTACAGTTGAATAAATGAAGGTAATTACATAATGCGGGGATTTTTTATAATTTATTTATAATATATTTATTATTATTATACTTATAATCATGGTCATTTACACAAAAATAGCCCCACATTATGTAATTTAGTTCAATCTAAAACAAAGGTAAACTAACCGTTGATCCACAAAGGTGAATTTGCCATCCATGGCGTAGCGGGTGACAAATTCGGAGGGCTTGACCTTGATCTCTCCGTTGGCCTGGGGGAGGGTGTGGGGGTGCACACGGCCCACTGCTACCAGGCAACTGAAGTGGGAGCTCTCTTTGTCCCCCTCTGCCTCCCCCTCCGCGCCCAGCTGGCGCGTGGGCCAGACGCGCATGTATCCCGTGCAGTGCACGGTGCAGTACCGCTGGGACTCTGATGGGGCAGCGAATCAACACGAATCAATTTAAAGGTGAGCTGTGAGCCAAATGTTGCACCATATGTTGTTAAAGAGAGACACAAGGTGCACGTTTCCATCTCTTTTTGATTTGCTCTATTTAATTTAAAAAACGTGTGGTGAAAAACATCTGACATTTTATTTTTATTTTTTTAGCATTGTGCCAAAAGTGACACATAAAGCTTAAATATAAGCTTTTGCTTAACATGTTGAACAAACTGTATAGTTGAAAAAAAACAGTTGATAATGCACGTTTAATGCATAAAAATAATCAATGCATTGCTTTAAGGGGCTTTCTGAATGACTAGTCATCTAACTGCTCGGGCCAGTTTGGAAAAGACTATGCTCACCAAGAACAGAAACATCAATGCTATCCAAGTCCAGACATCACAGCACAACACTTTCCAAAGTGAAGTCACTATCCAACTATCCAAGTTTGTAGGGATACAGCTGTCGGAATAAAATCCCACAAGCTGTGCTCACACTACTGCATGTGGCGAGAAGAAAGAAGAAAAGATGACGCGTGTAATGGGAGTAAATATGCAGGCCACGTCATCAACACGTCACAAAATGACCACTTGGATAACTGGTTCTCAGCAAGAACAGAGACATGAAGATGTTTTCCACTCATATGCGGTCTGAAGTCAAGGAAATTGAAACTTTATTTTAATTTCTACTTGTTTTTGTTTTGTTTTTTTACAGAGCAATCACAAAAGACTTCAGTAATGTGTTTCAACACAGTCGATTAGCTTCATGAACAAGGCTCTTCTGATTCATTTAATGTCATCTCTGGAATTAGAAAACTACCTTTAACAACTTTACAACTGTAAAATTGTAATTCTACTGACCTTTCTTTTTTGAGGCACCAGCCTGAAAGTCCTTCTCCTCTTTAATGCTAACTTTGTTGTACTTCATTCGGCAGAAGAATGAGCGCCGGGCTCCAGAGCAAAGCCGAGCCGCTCCGACAGGAAGATCAGCCTGCACCTGCAAACCCGCTACACACACACACACGCACACCAGAGAGAATTGGATTGGTTAAAGGAATGCTTCCCCAAAAAATGTTCTGTTATCATTTACTAACCCTCATTTTGTTCCAAATCCTTACAAAAAATGTAATCTTATTTTCTTTACAAAAAGCATTTTTGTTGGCTTCGAAGGGCTTCAAATGCAGCACACGAGTCAAACGGACTACTTTTAATTGTTCTTTTTTTACCAGGATCCAGGTTTGAAACGTGGGATGGTAATAATGAACTATGAGCAAATAAAAAACTAACACTTTAAACACACATACATACCACTGCCATTCAAAAGTTTGGGTTCAGTATGATTTTTATTCAGCAAGGACACATTTAATTTATCAAAAGTGACAGTAAAGACATTTCTAAAGTTGTAAAAGACTTCCATTTTCAAATAAATGTTCTGTTAAACTTTCTATTCATCAAATAATCATGAAATAAATGTATTAAAGCAGTGATTGTTTTGAACATTGATGATGATAAATGTTTCTTGAGAAACAAATCCGAATATTAGAATGATTTCTGAAGCAACATACGAAAATTGCTGAAAATTTAGCTTTGCCATCACAGGAATAAATTACATTTTAAAACTAGGGCTGTGAAGTCATTAATCACGATTAATTGCATCCAAAATAAAAGTTTGTGTTTACATAATATATGTGTGTGAACTGTGTATAATTATTTTGTATATATAAATACACACACATACATGTATACATTTAAGAAAAATGTGTTATTTATATGTCAAATATTTATATACAATGCAAATTTTATATAAAATTTAAATTTTAAAATTTGGATGCGATTAATCGTTTCACAGTCCTACTTAAAACATTAAAATGAAAACAACTATTTTAAATAGCAATAATATTTCACAATATTACGGTTTTACTCCATTTATGATTTAAAAAAAAAAAAAAAAAAAAAAAAAAAAATCAGCCTTGGTGAGCATAAGAGACTTCTTTTAAATGGTAGCGTTTACTTTTGTTTATTAAGCAGGTTGAACACAGTGCACGGAAAGACAAAACTGTTTAAGCACTTAAGAAAAGCATTTAGGAAGCATGCACAACCTTGACACAGATAACAACATTTATTCGGCCTAAATATGCTTACTTTTGGCATCTATGAGGCGCTCCCGTGGGTAGAGTTCAGAGGCAGACAGCTGTTCCTTCACTTTTCCAATGTCCTTCGGATGAACATAATCAAACAGGCTCTGTCCAATTAACTCCGTCTGGGGAGAAGAATATTCAACTGAGCCATGACCTGACTGATATATTCTGCTAACAGTTCACAATATCATCAGCTTAACTGTTATCATCACTAACACATTTTTTTTTAAACGGTCCTCAAAATACTTCAAATATTATACTACCAGTAAAATGTTTGCATACACTAGACTGATTTAGAAAGAAAAGAAGAAAATATGTAAATGAGAACAGCTGTATTGGCTGGATTTGGTGGCCATACATTATATAAAAATTACAGTATGTGAGCGCTGAGAGAAAACCGATGCAAACTGTGCAGAGAGTTGGTGAATGACGTCATCTGGTGACATTTCGTGATTTTTTTAGCAGCCTTTAGCTACTTTTCCTCGAAAATATGTAAACTGTGCAGAGAGTAGGCAAAAGGTTGGTCTTTTTAGAGTCAAATTCTCCTACCCGACTGTAGTTCAGGATTTTTGAAACAGATTCTGAGACGAAGACAATTTTTCCACGATCACAGCCAACCACAAAGAGAAATCCATCCGCAGCCTGGACAAGAGAGAGGAAGAGATCGTTTAGATTTCATGTTGTCATTAACAATTGCAAACAGTCAAAATGTCCAAAAGCTATTTTTGGAGGACCTTCCAACATCAATAATTTGCTGCGATATTTCTTCTATATTATGCATAGCTTCAAGACATAGCTCTATAAATTGTAGGTTTTACCCTTAGGACAAGGTGCTTGAGCTCATCATCTGGGAGGAATGCAGGTTTGTAATTAGCTTCTGCAAAGGAGTTGGTTGCTCCTGAAAATAAAAGCACTCCATTACTTCACCGACAATGTTTGTTATGCTATTCAAGCTTAATATTAATCTTTGTTCATGCTAGTCTACACAAAAAAGCTCATTTTAAAGACAGTCATCTAGGTACCTTTGAGTGATTTGAGGTGCTGGACAGCCATTCGTAACACAGTGAGTTTGTCAAGCTTGCGGGACATGGGGTTACATGTGGGAATCATCGCTGCCAACTCGTCAATCAAGTTATTCATCTTATCCCGCCGTCGTTTCTCGATCTGACTGTGAGGTTCCCTGCAAGATGACATTATGTCGTAAGTACCACGGTACTCAACGTTGCTGAAATATAACATCCCTAAACAGCAAACTAAATAGTCTTTGAGTTTCATTGGGAGTTGAAATCGCAAACAAAAAGGGGGTATAAATAAATAAAAGGGAGAAAAATAAATAAGTACAAACAAATAAATAATCCCCATAAATATTTAGTACCTGATGCACTTAATTTTTAAGTGCTGGTCGTCTCCTTCTGATCTAAAAAACAATATAATAAAAGGCATACAGACGTTACAAAATAAAGAATAAAATTGTGGATCAAGGCGAGTCATATTTAGTACTGATAATGGGCATAATACCTTTCCTGATCATCCTCCATATCCTCGTCTAGATTTGATGCAGATTTTGATTCTCTGGAAACAAAGTGGTGGGATGAGTAAAGTGACTCATGAAATGCTGCTGAGATTCTAAGAGGACATTAAACACAGACCACGCACTTCCCTTCCCAACACATCTCCACTCATTCAGAAAAGCAGGACAGAGGATACCAGGCCAAACAAGAGGATATTAGTCATACAAATCAGCTAAAAAAGCCTAATCTCTCACAACCACATGCTCTTTCTAGACAGAAGAGTCTTGGGGGTATGGCATATATAGTCATTTATGTGGGATGAACAGTTTTTTATAAAAAATAAAAATTAATATACAGAATAATGCAAAAATCAAAGAGGCAGCGGTAGGTCAAAATATTGTTAGGTAAAACCCAAAAGATCAGCTGTAGTACAACTTCTCAATTTGCCAAATATATTTAAACAGATATGCAAGTATGTACAAGTGACCAATCAGAATTAAGAGAGAACTACCAACTTGTTTTCATGTTATAAAGTTATACGATATTTTTGCACTGCTGCCTTATTTAATAACTTATTATGAACAAACATTACTTTTGCTTTGTGTCTATCACCTTCCTAATAAACAAACTATACAAAAGAAGAAGTTAAAAGATAAAAAAAATAAACAATGTTTAGGAATAAATTCCACTATCATTCAATGAAAGAAGTCTCTTCTATGCATCAAAGCTGCATTTATTTAATAAAAAAAATACAGTAAAACAGTAATATTGTGACATACTATTATAAAATCAAATAACTTCTTCATAAATCAAAATGTAATTCATTTCTGTGATGGCAAAAGGAAAATGCTTAGTGTCATTATTAGTCTTCAGGGTCACATGACCCTTCAGAAATCATTCTAATATCCTGATTTTATATATTTATTTATTTTTCAGGAATCCTTGATGAATAGAAAGTTCAAAAGCACAGCATTTATTTGGAATAGAAATTCTCACATTTGACAAAATGTGCTCAAAAAACAAAAAAAATCTGCGCTCCTTGCTGGATAAAAATATTAATTTTATTTCAAAATAAAACAACTTCTGAAAAATTGTGTAAATAAAAAATTAAATCATTATTTTTAACTTAATGTTTTATTATTTAAAAAAAGGCAATACCATACTTCTACTTACATTGTTAATATATAAAACATATAATCTTTAATTAGATGTTACTGCAAAAATAACAATATCGTGATATGCACAGTTGCTGTCATATATTTGTCAAACCAGCAGCCTCTACTAGAGAGCTATAAAAAATAATTAAAAATGTACTTACGGGATCTCCATGCTGCCTTTCCGTTTCCTGGGCAGCTCCATGCCTGAGGCCATGCCAATGACTGAGGTGGGGGTCATCAAACCAGACAGAGAGACGGAGAGGCCCTGGGGTTCCTCTAATGCATCTCCTGCTATTAGTGGGAGGGATTTATTTTAGTAAAGTGACAAAAAGAAACATGGCAATACATTTTAAAGTAACTGCAATGTTCAACTACGTGCTACATATTGGAACCAGGGCACCGTGGAATAGATTTCATAACAGACATCCAAAGAATCAGACCATCTGTAATCGGCACACAAATAGTCAAAGGATTTTTATGTGAATTCAGAATGATACTTGCGACCTAAATAATAAACAGGACAATTTTTTTTTCTTGTGAAAGCGGTCACAAGAAAAGGAACATCTTAAAACCCAGAAACCCAATTTACACGTGGTTCTTAGAAACAGTGGAAGTTCAGAGGCAGGCCAACCATAAGCACAATACAGACAACCTACTTCACCACCGCAACTTGCATCACTCTTTCCTTTATGCTCATCTTTCGGCCTATTTAGACAATGAAACATCAGTTAATATACGTTCTTTGGCTTCTCGTACAAACAATGGTTCAAAACCAGAAGCCTTTATGGCAGTGTACCTATAGGTTGAACCATAATGTCCAGTCTGAGGACAATCAAACACCATATAGCCATTGAGTTCAAACAGATTTAGCTTCTGGCAATAAATAAATTAATCATTTTTTTACTCATCAGAATTTAAGTTTTCAGAATTTAAAATTTCAGTTTTGGTTTCTATTTATTGACAGAAAAAAAAACGATGGCATACTGGCCTAGTGTGATTATTAAAATGCAGAAGAGTGCAATATAAACAAATATATTCAAAGTTAAAGGGTACGTACTCCACACAAACTCTAGCTGGCTTGGTTCACTACATGATTTTGCAGCGTTGAAATTCATTGTGAATGCAAAATGCACCAGCTACTCTTTACTTTTTTATATGTACAATTCTGAAAAATTTTTCTGCATTATTACTATACAAATCAAATAACAAAACTGGGGAACCGAAGAAGAGGGGTTGACAACATTTCACAAGAATGAAAAGCATATTAAAATCAGCAAATATAAACTTTTGTCAACCAAACTAAAAATTAAGTAAAGAAATGTAAACAGAAAAATAATATATTATAAAATTCAATAATTATAATATATTGTAATTATCATTATCATTATTATGACAATCGATAATAAATAAGAACTTTAATTGAAAAATATATACACTGTAAAAAAAAAAATTCAAGATTTGTTATCACAACATTTTTTCTTTTGTCAAAACAACTTATTATTTTGAGTTTCTGATGATTAAATTAATTTCCTTCATTGTATTAACTTTTTCCAGTTCAATCAACTTAAAATTTTAAGGCAACCAGGTTACTTACTTTTTTTAAGTTAAACCAACAATATTTTTTATAGCGTATTGAAATAACTACAATTAGCCTAATCCATGATGAAGTAAACCTACAATGAGTAAAAAAAAAAAAAAAAACTCACTTCACATGAGAGCGGCTCACATCAGGTCAATTCACAATCATTGCATCTGTTCAAATAACTGCAGTGTGACTTTTTTTTAAATCAAACTCTGCCACTAAAGGACATTATGAAGCTGTATTTGCCATCTGCTATTGCCATTGACCACCAAAATCCATTCACAAACTCCCTGTGAGCAGAACTTATTCATGAACAGGCTTTAACAGTGCAATCTGTTTTTCCCGCCTGCTTCACCTGTTCCTTTAAGCCTCTAAGACCAACAGACACACTCGTCCACGGGCATGTGTACACGTGCGTGCGTACTGTGGTGTGTGTGTTTTCAGTGCCATCAGGTTTGGGCGATAATGGCACGGGCCAGGCCCAACACAGCTTGTGGTCCTGACTCCTATATTTAACAGTCCTCCACAAGCCTTGTGACCTAAATAGACGTTAACAGATCGGCAACAACCTGATTTTTAATCCTGTGTGCTGGAGTAAAGATCTGCGGTGGGATTATTTGGTTTTATGAGGACGATAGAAAGGCCGCACCCAACAATGAAGAGCTCCGTCTTTCACAGGCTCATGATATTATCTGGACTCCACTGACCTGCATTTAGATGCTAGCCATTTGCCATTTCACTGACTCACTATTCAAACTGATGTGACAATATTCAAGGACCATTCAAATGCATACACATGCATGTATACGAGTAGGAATGGAACAATTATATTCCAAAGTAGTAAGTATTGAGCCTCAAAATGAAGACATCTCTCAACATATTATAACCTTACCTGCTTCTTTAGCAAAACAAATGCATTGTAAGTGTAATTATACTCTTTAAAAGCAATACACACCCACACATTGAAAAATTGCCCCAGGAGTCAAGTCAGTACTAAAGTAGTCCAACTAAATTACTTGGGGGGGGAAAAAAAAAAAAAACGGTCACTGTGAACATTACTTGTCATCACACACACACACACACACACACACACACACACACACACACAAATAAAATAAAAAGATCATGTCATCAGGTGAGCTAATTATTAATTAGGCTATAGTTTACACTGTGACCATAGAGATGCATGAGAAACATGTCCAAACTCAATTCACTTCAGCAAGAAATGTGACAAAAGTGCATGAAAGTAGGTCAGGGAATCGATTTTAGCACACTTTTGGCACCACACCTTGGTAGTATTTTGCGTTTCATCAACCCCAGTTAAGCATTAAAGTAACTGTTCAGATTATTATTTGACAAATAAGTAAACACACTGTGCAATAATGACTACTGTTGTTGACACATTGTCATTTGTTTAGCTGATCATAGACAATTTGTTCCTGCAAAACTATAAATATGTCAACATGGTTAAGTTAGCTAGCTGGCTGGCATCTTTGAGGTTTTGCGAGTGAAGAATGATTTATGATTCGCGGCCTAAGCTTAGACATTACATTGTGTTATACCTATTAAAGATGAAAAAAGCGTATTGCAATAACTTAAGTCGCAATTGCGAGTTCGAGCCAGACCGATATATCGGCAGACGATATTATCTATAGTTATAATGGCCGATAAATGAATATTTTAAAAGTAAAATAAAAATGTACGAAACATGCTTGAACCATATCATGAGTGTTGGAGTTGTATAGTTTGTCCACCAGAGGGCACTCTACACCGTCCCAGTTGGCAACACTCGTTGAGTTGGTCACGATAAATAGATTGTTTGAATAACAATTAATAGAACATTCCCATCAGTTCTCTTAACTCAAATAAGCATGACAAAATTTGTGACTATCATGTCCAGTTTGTCTGCTTTTAAATAAGCCGAGAGTGAAGTAGAATTATCTAGTAATAATTACGTTACGTTGTTACAGTGTAGATGACTGTCCTTTTAACTTTTGACAATGTGGCTGAAGTATTTCCTTAATAGCACGTGACAGTTATAGCGATAAGACGTATCATCTCTCCTTGGCCTGTTATATTAAAAATGTATGTTTTACAATTTGCAGTATGACGTTATCCATTGCTAAATTATGGCTCATCATAGACTAGCTAACCACAAAGCAAGCTAATGCCACTATCATCGGTCTGTTCTAACAATAAAAGAAACAAGTTTCTTTTTAAAATGCATCATTATATTATTTTAGTTAAAACTGATAAAGAACTACAAATAACTAATGTTAGGGAAATCTGTTAATGTTTTGTTGCGCGTTTCTGAGAGAAAAAAATAAATATCGGCCGATATATCGGAATTAGAGCCAGACTGATATATCGGCAGACCGATATTATCGGCCGATATTCGGCATTTTCCAAACTATCGGTATCGGCAGTTATAATGGCCGATAAATGAATATTTCAAAAATAAAATAAAAATGGACGAAACACACTTGAACCATGTCATGAGTGTTGGAGTTGTATAGTTTGTCGACCAGAGGGCACTCTACACTGTTCCTGTTGGCAACACTCGTTGAGTTGGGCACGATACATACATTGCTTGAATAACAATTAAAAGAACATTCTCATCAGTTCTCTTAACTCAAATAAGCATGACAAAATTTGTGACTATCATGTCCAGTTTAAAAATAAATAAATAAATAAAATATCGGCCAATATATCGGAATATCGTATTTTAAAACCCAAAAATATTTCTATCGGTATCGGCCTTCAAAATCCTTTATCGGTCGGGCTCTAATCGGAATATCGGATTTTAAAACCAAAAAATCTTTGTATCTGTATCGGCCTTCAAAATCCTTTATCGGTCAAGCTCTAGTGCGAGCTATAAAGTCAGAATTGTGAGATATTAATTTGCAATTCTGAGCGCAAAAACAAATTACTTTAACATCTGAATTGGACTTTCTATCTCACAATTCTGATGTCATATCGCGGTTCTGACCACAAACTCGGAAAAAAACTCACTTCACATAAGGTGATCATATTGTTTGCTAAAAAAACTTAGGATTTTGTTTTTTTAAATCAAACTCTGCAACACTACCTGCCACCAAAGGACATAAAGAAGCTGTATTTGCCATCTGTAATTGCCATTGACACCAAAATCCATTCACAAACTCCCTGTGAGCAACTTACTCATGAATAGGCTTTCACAGTGCAGTCTGTTTTCCCACCTGCTTCACCTGTTGCGTTAAGCCTCTAAGATCAACAGACACAATTGTGAGAAAAAAAAGTCAGAATTGAAACACAAAAAGTCACTGTGGCAAAGGGGTCTGCCATCAACCGGAATGGATTTATTTTCTCTGAATTACTGGCTGAATGTAGATTACTCCACTTATTAAATGGCTACTTGCCAAATAAAACCAAATAACTAAATATACACATGAAATGGATTAAATAAACAGACACCTTGGAATTATTAGTTGTGCGAGGTTTAATCTTAAAAAATAAAACGGTTACAGATAAAGTGTGAAATTGACAAATGGTATAGTGCCTTATTAAAATTCAACAGCAAATGATGGATGAATCAGATGAAAACCCATGTTAATTCTTCCCACGGTTGAATAAAACACTGGTGCATTCCTGTCACTAAAGCCAAAATGCCGATTACTAATGTCTGGGTTGTATAAAACCACAAACCAATCCAGTTGAAGCATCTTGGCAATAATTTTCAATATGGCCATAAGCAAAACTCAGAAGGCACTGATGTCTATTCCCAGACTTTTTCATATGTGAAACTTTCCCCAATTTCAAAACACTCAAAGGAATTCAAGTTTAGACATGACATTTTATCTAACAAATTACAAAATTGCCTTGCCTCCAATTAAGAACACTTAATCATTTTGATAATTGGGCAATTAATCCAGGGCTAGAACCACCACATAAATAAGCTATAAAAGCACTATTTTAAAAAGCTTTTACTAATTAAACCAACTAAAAAAAAAAGTACTATGTAGCTATATAAAAGTATCATTCTTTTTACAAACCGTGCATATTTCTAATAGATCACATGAGTTTCAGTCTCACACTTTTTCATTTTAATGTATTATTATTGCTTATAATCATTTTATCTGCCAATTCCACTTTGTATTGTATCATGTTTTAGTTAAGAAAGTTTGATTATATTTTATTATAACACACCTAGTCACAGATGAAAGAAACAAGATTTGGACAAGAAATCATTTGATGTGGGTTTGTTATAAACTGGATAAACTTGCTTGATGGTATTACTCCTATAATATATATAATCACTATACAAACATGAATAACCAAGAATGTGAAACTAGGCAAGACAATCAGTTAACATCCAAATAGCATAATCAACAGCATGATTTTCTGATGTCTAGACATGTAGGCAACTGGAAACCATCTCTTTGACATGAGACTGGAAGTCGAGTGCAACTTGCAAGCCATAAAACGGACACAAAGAGTCGTGATGTGATAATCTGAAAGACTGACAGCCAAACAATCCCCCCTGACTGACTGATCTCCAGGATTTAAAAACAATTTTGTAAAGACGTCCTTGAGAACGAGACCAAGAAAAGAACTGTCAGTTTAAAGGGTTAGTTCACCCAAAAATGAAAATTAAGTCATTAATTACTCACCCCCATGCTGTACCAACCCTGTAAGACCTTTGTTCGTCTTCGGAACACAAATGAAGATATTTTTTGATTAAATTTGAGAGCTGTATCACTACCACATAGGGATCCTAAGGGATTGAAACTTGACAGCCCAGAAAGTCAATGAAGAAAATGTTTAAATATTCTATGTGACTACAGTAGCTCAAGTAAGTTTATCAAGCGACAAGAATACTTTTTGTGCGAAAATAATGACTTTATTCGACTATTCCGTCAAGGCCATCAAGTTTCATTCCCTTAGGCAGCCTATGTAGCAGTGATCCATAATGGATTGTTGGATGGATTGCGTATTGTGTAAGTTTGTTTTAAAGGGTCATCGGATGCCCATTTTCCACAAGTTGGTATGATTCTTTAGAGTGTTCATGTAAAGTTTGTAATATTGATTAAAATTCCTCCATGGTTGTGTAAAACACCCTTTTACCTCCTCAAAAACAGCTTTGTTCACAGTGACCTCTTTCAGTGCATGTCTCTTTAAATGATAATAAGCAACTGCTCACCTCACCTCACCCCTCTCTTCCATGGGGGTGTCGAATGGCTGAGGGCCAAAATATGTTAATACGGGACAGTCAGTACTGGTCATGGGTGGAACATGAGCATTATGACATCATAGTGCTCAAAATAAAAACACCATAAAGTGAATTTTGCATCCAAAAACCCCCTTTTTTAAGCTTTAACTATATATGATATAATAATAAATAATATAATAAATATAAAAAATACTATATTTGTAGGACCCAGAATTCAGCTCATTCTATGTGCATTTTTGTAATGCACTGCATTGTTTTTGCAATGCTCTTTTAAATAACATTTTAATCTCTTTCAAATATGAAAATGTATTGTCATTGAGGTATACCCCGCATTAAATCATTAAGAGATGAAGGTATTGAAGTTATGCTGTCTTGTTCCTCCATGAAAAACTCCCACAGAAAATTTGGGTAAGTGCATTTATTTGTGAGCCAAGTTATAACTTATCAGATGGGCCAGAAAGTAAATAACTGACCTGAAAAAAACACCTATCAGTGAAATGACTGGAATCTATAAATCAAAAGGCCAGTTACCTAAGAGACACACTTTCCAGATAAGACCCTACATTCCAGTCACGTTTCTCAGTTTTGGGTAAGGGAGGGGGGGTGTCTGTCACGAGACCAGACAAACCAAACTGGCAGCAGATTTAGGTTACACGTTTCGCAGGAATTATTAGCACATATTGTCCTATTACATTAAACAGCTTTGTTTCGGAGTGTTTATAGGCTAGATATGCGAAGACTCACTGATTGAGTTAGGCTGAAAAGAGAAAGCAACGCCTGAAGAAGAGGAGGGCATCACAGCCCAAGCCTGCACGTGCACTGTGGAAGTGTTTGACCTACATATTACACAACCGTCACGTTACAAGAAATCAGACTACATCAGGCAGCACTATGACCTCACAATGCTAATGATTCACATTTACGTCACAACAACATGCAGTTTCAAAGAGGACACTGAATTCACTAGAGGAAAGGCATCTGTGCTAGACTGTTTTTGTGATCTTTAAAACTCATTTCACTATCAAAATAGTGAGAAGAAGAAAGTTGTTTGTCATTCCTTTGGGCTCACAATTGAAAGTGATGATGAAGATATAATATGATATGTATTTTTATAAAATTATGACACCGGTAGGCTATAATAGTTTTCTATTTGTAAGCTAGGCTATGGATGAGAAGCGAGAACATATCGATCTTAAAATAAACCCAAAAAATGTTGTAGGCTACTTTCTGATTGGCTATGACAACGTTTAAAGATACAAATGGGGTTTGTGTAAATCAATTGTATTTTCTAAAAATAAATGAAGGAATCGGTTAATTGTATGTCACCAAATGTTCTGTTTGTTTACTGTTTTTCATTTACAACCAAAACGCACTTATTTTTTTTTTAATTTCTGATTACTTAGTATCTTTTGTGTTGAACATTTGAGTGCAAACCATTACTTATTTCTACAAACACTCTTCCTCAAAAGTACTATAAAAGTATAACTACATAGTTTGTTATTTGTCAAATATTTGTTAGGGAACAGGAATAATTAAACATGTATCAGAATGGCAAACATAGCAACATTATTTAAGATTCCCAACCCCTATAGGCAAAAGTAAACAGTAAATCGTCGATTTGTCGTGTTTTTCCGGATAAGATTCGATTCTTTTATTTCGATCCACAGAGTGGGTTTAGGAAAATATAGCCTATAAAGAATAGTTGGACATATAAAAGAAACAAAGTTCCCCAAAACATAAAAGAAAAAGTCGGCAGTACCTAGTTAAGGCGTTTAAAGAATTAGCAACAACTGAACGCGATGGCAACCAATCAGCCAAGGCCGCGCAAAATATATAGAAAAACATGCTACATTTTAAATACGTGACTGTCAATCACATTAAAACCCGAATATAAGATTAAACGCGCCGTTAAAGATCCAAATATGTCTCTGAGAGCAGTTCCTACGCATCCTTGCTTGTGTTTGCTCTACTGAACTACTGACCTAGTTTCGCAGCGAACGCGAGTGTGCAAACCAATCAGCGGGGAACACCGAGATCTCCCGTCTCCTCCGCCCGGCCGGCACACAGCGCAATTACACCGACACTCTCCGCTTCATGCGGACCATCTAAGGCGGACTAACTCATATTGTTTTTGACGGCGTTACCTGTCTTTTCCCCCGTCGCTCCGTCACCGACGCCAGTCGTTGTATTCCTCGCCGACATGGCTGGAGCCGGTACGCCGCGGCCCAGGACTCCGATGCTGCATGTGGAGAACCGAAGGCGGTGGTTGTTATTTGCAAAGGGGGGAGAGAGAAAAAGGAGGGGGGGCGGCGGACGGGGGGACGGCGAGGCCTGTATATTGATTCAATTATTTTTCTTTTCAACTAACTGAATTGGGAGGGTGGGCTGAACGAAAAAACGTGCAAGGAGAGGACACGATAAATCAGGACAGTGGTTGAAATCCCGGGAAACGCGGAAGACGACGTCGCACAATCTCCTCCTACCATCCTCAGCACCGCCCTTCTCGTGCTGTCCTTTCCCTCACGTTACTAACCTAGTAAGTCACGCGATATGTTATGCAAGCCGAGAAAAATGCGGTCAGGATCACAGTCAGGATGCGATGGCGGTATGCGGGTCCTGAACTGAACTGTGCTGCAGCTGGACACTGTCATCTTTTCGATTGCTGCAATGTGATTCGACCATATCGCATACAGTTTCTATAATCTGCTTAGACCAGAAGTGTTGGTTTTATTAATGCATACCTGAATGTACGTAACATAAGTCTGTTGTTTTGATTATTTGTTGGGGCAAGTTGGCTATAAGTTTATCTCAGTAGCCTAGCATATTAAAAAAAATAAAAAATAAAAATAAAATACTAGGCTATAAGTTAGGCTCCCTATTCGATTTGGTTTAGAGTAGTGATGGCAAAATTAGGTTTTCTGAACCACTGAGACCTCTGCACTCAAAGGTTATGGCAAGCCCTTTTAACGTTAAAAAGCTAAGTTTGACTATCCGGAATTAACATTGTAGATATCCAACACTATCTCACGACCAATTCGTACAAATTTGACGCATGATTAAAAAGTGTCTAATTCGTACTAATTCGTACGACCTCACTCGTACTAATTCGTACGATTTGTCCAAACCCACGTGATGGTTATGTTTAGGGGCGGGGTAAGGGGTATAGGTCATTCGTACGAATTCATACGAATTGCCCAATTCGTAAAATATGTACGATTTAGCAAAATCGTATTAATTCGTACGAGTGAGGTCGTATGAATTGTTACGAATTAGCCACTTTTTAATCATTCGTCGAATTCGTACGACTTGGTCGTGAGATCGGGTTGAGATATCAGCAACGTCTTTCTGACTATAGTCATAATTACATTTTGGATAGTTGATATTAACAATTAAGCTATCTGTAATGTAATTGTGACTAGTCGAAACGACAGAGAGATATCTGTAATACAGTTTTGACTATAGGCAAAACTGAATTACAGATATCTGCAATGACGTCATTGAAAACGGCAGTCAACTCGTCACAAATCTTAAATGACAATTGAAAATATCTGTAATTCAGTTTTGAGGCAGAATGAAAGTTAAAGATATATAAAATGTCATTATGACTATAGCAAATTATTTTGCATGAGGTTGCTGTATTTTAGATATCCATAAATACGTAATTTCCCCTCCCCGGTATTATCAAAGAAGAAGTGGGTTAATTTCCTTATTACATTATGGAAGAAGAAAGAAGCAGTCATGGCGTTGGCTGTAGGCTAAGCAACAAAAAAAAAAAAAAAAAAAAAAAAAAAAAAGAACACCAGAAAATGTTTCCATGTTTCCAGCATGACACAAATTGTATTCATTAGCATTAGCCTGGGGGTCTCTCAAAAATATTTGCAACATGCAATGGTTGCCATGCATTTCAATGTTTATGCTTAAAATTACTGCAGGTTACTGTTGATGTAAGAGCATGAAAGAGATTCACACTAATTCACTTTAATAAAGATACTTACATACATGTTATTCTTGCCATGGAAGTGCAATAACATTAACTTCTTTAGATGAGAAAAAAAGTTCTTAGTTCAGATTAGTTCTTATTTTTTATTTGATTTTTAACAGTAAAAAGCCATGATATCCTGTAGGTATTGATTTCAGGTTGAAACAGCTACAGTAACAGCATTTAAAAGACGATTAAAAACCCCTTCGCCCTCTGGCTGCTCCGACATGGTGCTAATCAGTGCTAATTACAGCAACATTAACAGTTGCTATGCGATTTTGATGCTTTGAACAACAACACACTCTGTTCCCGCCTAAAGTGGGATGCTGGCGGCGTAATTTTCATACAGACATCTGCAACATAATTTCGCCTAGTCAAACTCTAATTCAAGATATCTTACATTTTGACTAAGCAGAATGAAAGTTACAGATATCTCTAATCAAAATTAATTTCAAGATTGATAATATATATCTACAATTCACTTATGACTATTCATAAAATGGCAAGCCATTTTAACATTTAATCATTTTAACCTACTAATCTCTATTTTTATGCTACTAGTACTTTTTTTTTAGATACTAGTATCTATTTCATTAAGTACTACTTATTCATTAGATACTAGTCCTTATTTTTTTAGATACCAGTGCTTATTTATTAGTTACTACGTATTCATTAGATACTAGTACTTAATTCAATAGTGACTAGTAACTATTATTTTGTTATTATTTATTTATTAATTTATATTTAATGATAAATTATTATTATTATTTTGCCATTGACTTCTATATAGGGATCTGTCATTCAGATATCAACTATTCAGTTCTGACTAGTGTGCATTCCAATTGTGATTATAAAATATTAGATACTAGTAGTAGTTATTCATTACTAGTACCTATTCAATAGATACTAGTACTTATTCAATAATGATATATATATATATATATATATATATATATATATATATATATATATATATATATATATCCTTTTATTTATATATATATATATAATTATTAAATAAGTACTAGTTTATACAGTATATATATATATATATATATATATATATATATATATATACCTTTTATTTGCAATAATAAAAAGACATTGCCTGGGTATAAAATAAAATATGCATCTTTCTCTGTCTGAATTTACTTGTTTAGAGACAACTGTCTCTCTCTCACACACACACACACACACACACACACACACACACACACACACACACACACACACACACACACACACACACACACACACACACACACACACACACACACACACACACACACACACACACACACACACACACACACACACACACACACACACACACACAATGTTCAGTGTCAAAATTCAAACATTCTCCAGCGGTTCCACAGTCTGGAAGAAAATCTGACAGAACTTCGTATCAGGGTTAGTCAAAACATCAATTAAGTAATTTTCTGACTCAGATACCATACACATAAATATATACATTCAATTGAGTAGCACTGCAGAACAAGTAGGCACGCCGGCACTGACAAACATATTGCTTGCACTGGAGCTTCTTGGAGCTCTCAGCAGCAGCCTCGTGTAGTCGTTACCGTTAACCACTAGATGTCACTCTGTTATTTAAAAACAGAAAGTGCCATGGACAAGAGTAGCGCTATAGACGAATCCGACGAGCGTTCTTGTGTAGGCTGCCATCTTGTGGCGACGCCATTACTGAGCTGTTACACCGGCATAGACATATGCACCGGTATGTAAACAAACCTCGGAGATAAGGTGATAACGCACCCTTGATGACGGCTACAGCCAGGCAGACTTGTTGGGTTGATGATGTTAGACATTGGCCTCCAGTCACAGATGAAGGTACAAACGATCTTACAGATTATTTATGAAAATAGCTTGGCAAGCAAGCTAGGCTAACGTTTGCTACCGAGGAAACTAAAAAAAGATCTGTCCATTTGGCAACAATAAATAAATAAATAAATGAAATCAAATAAACAATTTCATGTTTTTCATTTGTGTCCATTATTTATCTCATTTTTACATTGCAACGGGCATGGGTAAGGTAACGTTACAGCTAGAAAGTATAACTTGCATAATATCGACCAACTACTGTTTTTAAACCATGGAAAGAGGTCAATATAACAGCAGGAGAACAATTATGTCACATAACGTTACATTCAGCTCAGGAAAGCCATTTAATGACCATAGCATGTAAATTGAATAGAAAAAATAACAAGAGAGGAGATTTTGCTGATCACTATATCACACATTTATTATATTTTTTTACTTATGTCATGAAATAATTGTTATTATACGCGAATGTCCGCGTCTTGTACTCGCCCAGGAAATCTGTGTAAACCGTACGGCACCAGACAGGGGCAGTCCACCCGGGGTATTCACAATGTTTTCTCTTCAAAATTGAAATTTTACTGCCACCATTAAAACAATTTATAACGGAAACTGTTTACCCACTCGACATTATACAAGGGCTAACGTTGTAACGTTAGTGACAGTCGTAAATCGCGAGCTGTTTATTCCAGTGGACGCAAGTTGCAACTAAAACAATAGAAGGCAATGGCGCAAAGCTACCCAGCAACAGCTCAGTAATGGCGCCCGCTTACTTCCGGTAGTTTCGCCGGATTCGTCTATATGCAAATATTAATATATACTTACTAAATAATAAATAACTTTTAGTTAAAATATATGGGTCAGTGAATTGAACCTTTTTGCATGTTTTTTTTTTTCTGAATTCTTTAGATTAAAAAAATTGGTTACATTTTACAATGAGGTCTCCTTACTTAATGTATTAACTAACATGAACTAAAAATGAACAAAGCATTTTTTATGGTATTTATTAATCTTTGATAATGTTAGTTAATAAAAATACAGCTGGTTGTTGTTCATGTTCACAGTGTATTAATTAAAATGTTAACAAATACAAGTTTTGATTTGAACAAATGCATTGGTAAATGTTAAAAATTCATATTAATGTAGAATAACAAACACTTTAGAAGTATTGTTCAGAAAAAGAAATGTCGAAATAAGACAGAATCTTTTATCATTATTTATTTAGGGGAAAAACTTTGGAGCAATATTATTAAAATGTAAAATTATTTTGCCTGCCAAATCAAAGTCGGTATTGCGCAACCAACAGGTTGTTATGTGACAAGAAAAAAATACCTCCATGACAGTGTATTCAGGTCAGTACGGTAAAAAAAAAAAACAACAACAACTGATTTTGAATTGATGTTTTGTTAAAAAATAAGCATTTGCTGTATAAGTAGCATGTTTTTTTCTACTATAAGTCTGCAATAGGCCTATATATTCAAATGGCATATGCCACTGAGGACAGTGCATTCCTCCAAAGTCCAGACCAACACTTTAACATTGATGATTTTTATTAAGTGTGTAAAGAATCTTCATTTGAAATTTTTGATCACCTGTTCATTTTTATTATATAAGAAAATCCCGGTTTCTGCAGTTATTCAGGGGTGTTGCACTGAATGGCAGACCTTCAGCGAGACAGATTTTATTTAGGCTATGGCATACAAGCATCGGTGAAACAGAGCCTGGGAGTCTAGAGCAACACCATGCAGACTACCAATGAATTTTTTAGACCCCAATATCTGAATTTTTAAAGCACACTGCATTTTTGATGATTATTGCATAAAAGAGGCTTTCACAGGAAAAAAGGTGCAGTGCTTCGCTCACAAAAGCAATAGAATTGCGAATGTGAGATTTTGAACATCAGCTACAGTGCAATGGCACTCACAGTTTGAACCTTTATGTCAGTGTTTGGTTGTTGACGTTGATACGTTTGACCCATGAACCCCTGGAACGGTTTCTCGGGATAAGGGTTAGACTGGGACTGTAGGACGCAGTGTCTTGTTACACCTGCTCATATCATACAACCTCGAGCCTGCGATCCTTGACTTCGCCATCAATATTGGATGAGTTCTGCTAGTCACTCTTTTCGGCCTGCTGTTGTATAGCCAAGAAGACCAAAAGGGGAGGGGTTGGAAAAGAGGCAGGTGTTCGGCATCTTCTATCACTGTCTGTGAGGGGACCGAGGAGAACGTTGGAGTTTCCATTATTGATATATGTCAGCATAACTTTCGCAATGATACACTGAACCGAAGACACCTGGATTCGTCCCGTTTCTTTCCTTGTGCCTTGTTTCTGGGTGTTTTGTGGCCAAACCGCATGAAGGATTGTACCCAGGCCATCAAAAAGCAAAGTCCCTCCTCTTCTTTCTCTCTGTGTGTCTTCTTGTCGTCCCTGGCTCGGCATCTCTCCTCCTCCTCCTCCCCTTCAGCACACCTAGAGCGTCTCAGTCCAGCTCGGGAGAGGATGCGCACCAGCACCTAGTGGATATCCTGCTCGTTTTTTCTGCAAGAGCAGAAGAGTGAGAAGACAAGTGTTTGAGGGACAGAAGTGCAAGGGAAGGAGAGATGCCACTGGGGGGGTTTGCGGGGCTAAAGGAGAAGCTCAACCCGGGGAAGGAGGAGTTGAAGAACAATGTGGGCGACTCTCTGGGGAACCTGCAGAAGTAAGTGTGATGGCAGTTGAATTGGAAAGGAAGATGTGAGAAGATTGCTTGTGCACATATACTGTATCACGCTTATTGTAATATTGAATAAAATTGGAATAGATGTAGAATTTAGAAATCAACTCAAAATTTATCGAGCAGCTTATTTTTGAGAAAAAAATAGCCTCATAATAATGAAATATATATATATATATATATATATATATATATATATATATATATATATAAAATTCTAAAATAAATGAAGTAGGATGTTCTTATATATGATGTTTATAATATATAGTTATTTGGATTTTGGTACAATTTAGCAAAATATAGCCTATATATTTTTTTTTTCAATAATTTGTTTTCAATATGCCATAATATTTTAAAAGAAAATGTTCCAAATTGTTTCTCAAATAAAGTAACAAATAAGAAAACCTTATTATAAATATGGTTCAAGCTTTTAAATATCTGTTCATCATCATGTACAAACCTAATAAATTCACTCTGAGCCATGGCCAGTAATTCAAAAACATAATATAGTGTAGGTGTATCCATACGTATTTAATATCTAGTTCATCTGTGATAAAAAAAAAACCCTGAAGACTCCATGTAAGAGCGAGATGTATGTCTCTTAAATTGCATGCATATTAGACAGCTTAATATATGAGATAATGTCAATAATTTCCTGTGTAATATTGCCAGGGAATCTAGAAAACTGAATATTATGGGCACACTAAATAATTTAACAAGTCATGCAATATTTATTTTCATTCCTACTTAAAACTTGCTTAATTCTGTAGGACATTTATATTTGTGTATTAACAAATGCACCATAATTGAATAAATAAGTCAAAGTAGAGTTGTGCAACAGTTGCTAGAGCACTGCCATTTCCAAAAACAATATATTAATATAATTCACCACAGGTATTATTTGAGAGAATGCAATACTCAGATAGAATGGTATCTGAGCATGGCATCTTATTTTCAGTTTTTTTTTTTTTTATGGTGAAATGAGAATAATGTGTTATCTTGCTGAATCTTTCTAATATATAAGCTGCTATTTGTCCGTTGGTGGCAATCTTTGCAAATTGAGCAGTTAGCATACATGATTTAAGAGATGATAATGTAGGGTTTTTTTAACTCTCCACATCTGTTATTGATTATATTTGACTTTAATGTTTTTTTTTTTTAATTATTATTATTATCTCATGGCAATTCTAGAGAACTATAGAGAATTCACTAAAATCAAAATGATAAGAAGTGTCCACTGTAAAAAAATATTGTTGCTTTAACTAAAATTAAGTAACCTGGTTGCCTTAAAATTTTAAGTTGATTGAAATGGAAAAATTGAGTTAATACAATGAAGGAGATTGATTTAATCATCAGAAACTCAAAATAATAAGTTATCTGAACAAAATAAAATTATTTAAGTTGATTTGACAAAAAAAAATGTTGTGATAACAAAGACGAAAAACAAGGGTTTTCTGATCTGAATAAGTGTGTGCATTGTCCACATAGAAAAAAACAATTGTGTGAGGTCCGTTTCGAGAGTGCAGCAGGACTTCTCTTAAAGTGGCTTTTGTGCAATAACAGCGTTAACAAACATATGGCTCTTAAAATGATGCCTCTTGATCCTCCATTCACAATCTGCCAGTATCCAGCTTTTAGTGAGCTCCTTCCTCTGTATATGGAAGAACTCAGGTGTGCATTTCAAAATAGACAGATGAAAGTAATTCCTGTGAGGTGGAGGATGAGAGGAAAGATGCAGGTTCAGTAATGGAACAGGTGTGTGCAGGCGCACCAAACGCAATGTGACCTTTTCTACTCCACACTCTGGAAACCAACATTTACTCTGTCCATCCAGTACATCATGGGTAAAGCTAAAGATAAATTTACAGTCCAAAAAGCAGTCTAGTCCAAAATGTTGCCAAGGCGTCTAGCACACCATCACTACATCATAATGCACAAACCTAATACATTCATTTTAAAACTTGGCCAGAAATTCTAAAATCTTATATCTTTCTTGGTGTCCATACACTGTATTAAATATCTCTAGGACATGAAGAGATTAAAAACCTGATATCTAGTATATATTTCTTGAACATTAATATAAAGTTCCGTCATGAAACTCGTCATGATAGTTCCGTGACTCATTCTGCTTGAGATCACATCATTCTCTATAGGGCACAGCTGATTGGTTCCTACTGTTTCAGTAGCCAATGAGCTCGCTGCTCAACCTTTAAATACTTAGTCAGCCTTTGCTGTAACAGTTGCCGTACACTTTCATAAACCATCCTCTTTCCCCAGCTCCACCTGTATAGATCTGCTATGGCTAATTCATGTATCATATTCTACAGCAGCAGCATATCTTACTTGCTCACAGCTGAGTGTCATGTGTGTATTGGCATTAGCAAGTCCTGTACTTGCTCTATGGTGGCAGCAATAACCTACAGGAGCAACAGTGACCAAACATATCGGCATTGTCAAATCCACATGCCAAACACTCGGGGAGTTGTCATGACAGAACTTAATTTGTGAGAGATGTATTTTTTTCTGTTTTTAGTGCAAGCCATTTTTAAACCATTTATTATCCCATGGTAGGAAGATCGATGGCACTAATGTGGATGAAGAGGACAACATTGAGCTGACAGAAGATGGCCGGCCAGTGGCAGCCCCTAATCGGAGCCCACCCCTTTTGGATTGTGGCTGCTTTGGCCTTCCCAAACGTTACATCATCGCCATCCTCAGCGGACTTGGCTTTTGCATCTCGTTTGGCATCCGCTGTAACCTTGGTGTGGCCATTGTAGAAATGGTTAACAACAACACTGTCTACATCAACGGGACTCCCGTCATGCAGGTGAAATCAGGAAAATGTCAAATGAAAATAATGGCATTCCCATACATCCTTCATCTTATTTTTAATACTATCAAATCTATCTTAATAATTCAACACTTTTATTTAAAGGGATAGTTCACTTTGAAATTAATTTTTGATATGTTTTAGCTTACCTCAAGGGCATCCAAGATGTAGGTGTCTTTGTTTCCACAGTATTTTCAATTTTGACATTTTTCAGTCAAACCGTTGTTGTCTATCAGTCATACACCGGAGGCAAAGGGGGTCCACCGAAAAGCATGCACAGAGAAGTCAAAATTAAACATAATTTAATGACTCGTAAATGTAAGTACACATTGATGGCCTAAGACCCGAAATGAGCGGTTTTTGTGAGAAAACCCGTTTTTACCTCGTGTAATCCAAGTGATCTGAATCGGTTGTTCAATGTCCCACTGAAAAGAGAACTGAATCAGTTCAATGTTACACCGGAAGTGATCGCGTGCGTGTGACGTCACTCAATATTTAAGCGGAGATTTCGGAAGTTTTACCTTTTACTAAACATATTTAGATATACCGAAATCGTCTTCCATTGCGGTTTCCCGTATATATAAATATGTTTAGTGAAAGGTAAAACTTCCGAAATCTCTGTATAAACAAAGAGTGACGTAGGCGCGCAAGCGATTACTTCAAGCGCATGCGCAGACCGAAGCGCACGTGCCGTCAGATCATTTTGTCATGGCTATGATTACAAGAGGGAAAACGATATAAATACTGTTCGTTTTCTCACACAAACCGCTCGTTTCGTGTCTTAGGCAATCAATGTGTACCCACATGTACGAGTCATTAAATCATGTTTAATTTTGACTTCTCTGTGCATGCTCTTTGAGGTGAATCGATTGAGGACCCCCTTCACCTCCAGTGTATAACTGATAGACAACAACGGTTTGACCAAAAAATGTCAAAATTGAAAATGCTGTGGAAACAAAGATACCTACGTCTTGGATCCCCTTGAGGTAAGCTAAAACATATCAAAAATTAATTTCAAAGTGAACTATCCCTTTAACTTGGCATATTCTATTTTTTTCATTCTGATTCATAAAATCTGGCTGGAATATATATATATATATATATATATATATATATATAATTTGATCATGATACATATTTTTCTCTCACAGTCAATTGATCTTAATACATGAAAATATACAGCTTTCATTTTTTTTACAAGATGAGTCCCTATAATCAGGTCCTTGGCACGAAAATTTTAGACAGTTAAGACAATACATTTTACTTCTTCAGCTATCAAGACAGATTATTTATTCTCATCAATGATTTGTTTGGTAGTTGGCAGACACAATTTCCTGTAATTTCCTGTTATAAGAGATATTGGGAAGAAGACATGACTCACACATATTCACAAGTTAAATTTACTATGTCTTGTGATAAATCAATTTGAATTTTCCCTAGTTTACACAAAAGTGTGCAACAAGTTTGTATTTTTTCTTCTTCTTCTTTAAAAAAAAAAATATTTGTGTTTTGTGTCCTTTAGCCAGCTCAGTTTAATTGGGATCCAGAGACAGTGGGGTTGATACATGGCTCTTTTTTCTGGGGCTACATTGTCACTCAAATCCCTGGAGGATTCATCTCCAATAAGCTAGCAGCTAACAGGTGAGCCTCATCTTGATGCACGGCACGCCACATTTGGAAGGAAAACGCATGGTATAACTCTTATATTACATTCAATGTTCAGAGGTGTTTCAAGACCCAAGGGACCACAGTGGTCAGGGCTGCGAGGGTTAAATTTGTGCCGTGTGTTGATTAGAGGGACGATAGCGGTCTTGTAATAAAAGCCTCACAGGAAAAAAGGACACGTGGCTGACAGAGTTAATAATGAAAGATCCAGCAGCAGATCTCTCGCTGAAACACCAGCCACTAGAATATTACAAGTGTCACTTACACAGTGTTTTGGGGGGGAAAAAAGAGGCAGATGGATGGATTAAATGGAGATAAAGGATAAATGAATGAACCAAAATGACTCTCTTCGGTGATGTAGCTGCGTGAGAGTGTGCAGGGCCTCTAAAATCATTAAAATCACAAGCATCATGCCCATTTAAACTAATGGGATTTTGAGCAAAGTGGATTTTGAATGCAAAAAAAGCACTGTGATAATTAAATTGCATGAACATTCAAGGTTAAAAACAAAATCTTAATTTGGTTAGTCCAATCAAGTTGTACATTCCACAAGTAATATATGATCAATCAGGATTTGAACCTGTGCATGCTAAATAAAAGCTTTACCACTAGATTTGGTCATGTCTTATTAAAATACAAAAAATTCCTGAATAAAACAAAATATACAACCCGATTTCACGAGAATTCGTACAAATTTTACGAGGTGGCTAATTCGTAACAATTCGTACGACCTCACTCATACGAATTAGTAAGTTTTTGCTAAATCGTACATATTTTACAAATTGGCCAATTCGTATGAATTCATACGAATGACCTACCCCTGACCCCGCCCCTAAACCTACCTATCACGTGGGTTTGGACAAATCGTACGAATTCGTACGAGTGAGGTCGTATGAATTAGTACGAATTAGCCACTTTTTAATCACTCGTACGAATTGGTCGTGAGATAGCGTAGAAATATACTGTAACTCCAATATTTATTTAAACGATTACGGTTGCACTGACGCGGAAGTTGCGTCTTTTGTTCCCTATTGTGATGTATGTCCGAGTGAAACAATACACTTTTTGAACAATAGGGTGGAACTTAATTTTGTCCATCAGGAATTGATTGGATCTTTGTAGTTTATTTTGCCAGATCAGCTATGATCTCATTTGAGTGACACATTGTCCCGCCTTTGTGCCGGTAAACCCATCTTCAGTGAAGAGATGTTGTTACAAGTGCAATGTATTTTGATTAAAGATTACGAGGGCACAGGATGTGAATGGATAAATCATAAATAATAAATACTGCAATATTGACTTGTTAATTTGGATTTCATGGTGCCTTTAAAGGTTCTGTCACCAAGTTTAAGTTACAAAAAATACTCTTTAGTGTCACTAACTCACTAATGATTAATGTCTTTCAGAATTCCATAACTGTTATATTTATTAAATTCAGTTATTCAGATCCGATTATGGAATTACCTATCCTGACTGCGCATGTTTTTCCACAACAAATTTAATTCTACATTATTTATGGCTTTATTGAATTTTACATTGCTTCATTTTAATTCCATACCTGAATTAACTAACATTTCCAAAAATCTCTGAATTGTTTCTCAGGGTGTTCGGAGCAGCCATTTTCTTGACGTCATTGCTAAACATGTTTATTCCGTCAGCTGCCAGGGTTCACTATGGCTGTGTCTTGTTTGTGCGAATCTTACAAGGTCTGGTGGAGGTGAGTGACCCCATCAGTGACCTCATCTTCAAATATGGCACATCATAAAATATTAACTTTTGAATAATTAATTTACATATATTGTAACTTTGTATATTATATACTTATTGTAAACATGTAAATTCTGTCATTCTCAATTCATTTTTTTTCTTTTCACACAAGATCAGAAGAGAATATTTACAGAGTTTTTCCAAATGCTTATTTTTTCAAAGCTCTACAAATAGCTTACCATAAAAGTGCCATGCACTACTGTATATTTTTACAGTTGCTTTTGAGTGATGAAGGTTTATTATTCATGAAGTCATTATCTGGGTGAACCTTAGTAATCAGCCATTTTGGTTTAAAAAACAATAATAAAGCACACTTACAGGGCATGATGTTAACAGGGTGTCACATATCCAGCCTGCCATGGGATGTGGAGCAAATGGGCTCCTCCGTTGGAGAGAAGTCGTCTGGCTACTACTTCATTCTGTGGTGAGTAAGTTTGTGAAATAGGCTTTTTATTTATAAAAATGGTCAGGAGACTTTTGATGTTTTAGAAATGACAAGAAAACGCTTAAACTATTTACTTTATCAATATATTTATCATTACCAATGAAAAATGGTTTCAAACGAAGCCAAAGCAACCATTACATCTCTGATCAACACAGTAGTGTTTGCTAATTTCCGGAATGACTCAGGTTTTGAGTCCTTGAGTGAATGATTCAATGGCTACATCCGAAAAGTAAAAAATGCTGCTTCTGGGTCCAGGAAGGCATCAAGGCACGTCTAATTCCAATGTTAGCTTCCCTTCCCGTCTCTTGAGATCTGATTTTTGAAGGCAGTATAGATCCTTTAATGGCTTTGATATTCCACAATCCTCTGCGGCTCTGTATGCTTTTGAATCGCTCTCGCGGTACTTCAAGCCGCTTAAACCCCCACTAAAACCAGCCTAAACTGTTTGGCTGGTTTTAACTGGTTTAAGCTGGATATAACTGGCATAAGCAGGCATCCCAGTTTGGCCAAACTAGTGTTCATCTGGTTGGTCATCATGGTCTAGCCTGACCAGTCTGACCATTTAAAGTAGTGGCCAAAACCCCTCTAAAACCAGCCTGTTAAACCTGCTTTGACCAGGATTTTTTTTTTTTTCAAAAGGAATGTGTTTCTGCATTAGAAGTAAAACCCACAGTCCAGTTTGACCAGTATCAGAGCTAGCTGAGGGTCTACAAATGCTCATTACTACTTAAAATGCATTCAAACATCCATCTTCCACAATAAACAGGTGCCATGACAACCTTTGCTTCAAACAGCTCTTGACATGACAACTAAATCAAGATGGTCTGTACACAGCTTCACCTTCTATATGTTTAAGAGGCTTTCTCCTGATGACAAAATGAAGCAGTGGCCTCTTCTGTGTTCAAAAGCTCACTCGAAAATCCTCTCCTGCGCCAAACAGGAAGGTTTATAAGTGCATCCCAGTAATAAAATATGTATTAAGACTCCTTTTCATTAAAATCCCATTTCCTGCTGCTGTCCTGTCCTTCAGGCAGAGGCACGTGTTGCACGGAGGTGTGAAGTTGTTGCACATGCAACTGAGTCTGCAAATCTGTTACTGCTAGGACTTGACTGCTTTCGGACATTTATCGTTAAGTTTCTTTCCTCGCATATATGAGAATCTGAAGCTAAATGTAAAATTTATTACAGTAAAAAACGATATATCGGTCTCCATATCGGTATTGCCGATATATGCTCGTTTTTAATGTTATTGTTACACTGTAAAAAAATATTTTCAACAACATTTTTTCTTTTGTCAAATCAACTTAAATAATTTATTTAGTTCAGATAACTTATTATTTAGAGTTTCTGATGATTAAATCAATCACCTTCATTGTATTAACTCACTTTTTCCTTTTCAATCAACTTAAAATTTTAAGGCAACCAGGTTACTTAATATTTTAAGTTAAACCAACAATATTATTTTACAGTCTACCGGCCAAAGAAAATCTGGCAGATATATTAAAGACGATAAATAACAGATTATTTCCTTCAGCTTAGTCACTTCAGATGTGCACTGTTTGGCATAATGGTTTTGAATGGCTTGAAATCACTTAAAAAAAGGAAAATACAGTTAAGTGCAACGTGCAGCGCAAGTCTGTCATATAGGTTACATAAAATTATAATGAGAACATTATAATTGTGTGCTTGAGACATGCTTTTTTTAAATAGTGAGACTTTTGTTTTTGTAATCAGGGTCTCAAATATCTAATAATTTGGATTGAAATTTATCGGTCAATATATCGGTTTTCGGCTTTCAGATATAAATAATTATTGGTTATCGGTATTTTATTACCAAAATATTATCGGTGCATCCCTAGTAAAAATGTACGAAACCAAATCAAACTCAAAGCTGAACCACTTGGTTTTCCTCTGTCATCTAAAAGGAAACCCCCGCAATGGCTTCAAATGATTGAACTGTCATGCGAGGCGAATATTACAGGTTGATTAATGCCCTCCCTTTTAATTGAACTTTCTTAATTACACTGTGTGTGTGTGTGTGCTGGTTGACAGGATCTTACGCAGGAGCTGTGATAGCCATGCCACTGGCTGGAATATTAGTGCAGTACGTGGGCTGGCCCTCTGTCTTCTATATATATGGTGAGTTAGGAAGGATAAGCCATTGAAATGTATTGGTAAAGAATGATATATACACCCCAAATAAGTGATGACTCTGACAATGATTTTGATTATTTTCCCAGTCAGCTGTATAGCTCATCAATCCAAATAACATTTACTACATTTAGTGAACAGTGTGATAATGTGACATTCAAAGATCAAGTGTGCCGTGTAAAAATAACCAGTGATATGTGGTTATGTGCTCATATCCAGGTGTGTTTGGGATTATATGGTATGTCTTCTGGCTCCTGCTGGCTTATAATAGTCCAGCGATACATCCCACCATCAGTGAAGAAGAAAGAACATATATAGAGACCTCTATTGGGGAAGGAGCCAATTTAATGAGTTCTACTGAGGTAGTCTTCTGTTACATTGTTAAACAGAAAAAGAGGTTTTTCCCCATATATTTATCCAAATATTCTCTTTGTAGAAATTTAAAACTCCTTGGCGTAAATTTTTTACATCTATGCCTGTCTACGCCATCATTGTGGCAAACTTCTGCCGAAGCTGGACCTTCTACCTCTTGCTTATTAGCCAGCCAGCGTACTTTGAAGAGGTCTTTGGGTTCCCCATCAGCAAAGTGAGCTGCTGAAAACCATCAGTGATTTAAACTAACAGTCTTTTGCAGTACAGTTCCCTCTTAGAAATAGGCCAACTAATTGATGTTGGGCTATTTCAGGTGGGCATTTTGTCAGCGGTGCCGCACATGGTGATGACGATCATTGTGCCCATAGGAGGTCAGCTGGCTGACTTCCTGAGGAGTCGGAAAATCCTCTCTACTACAAACGTGCGAAAAATCATGAACTGTGGAGGTATGCTAAGCTTTCCATGTAGCCCCGCCCCAAACTCACACCATTGGTTGATAATGGTTCAATAAAGAACACTTAACATCCATGGAACTTTTCCATTACAAAGTTCCTTACAGTGGGAAAATGTTTGATTACACTTATTTTGAGGGTCCCCTTTAGATATTCTCTTGACTGTACATTATGTTCCACGTTGAGTATTAGTAGACTTTTAAGGGGAGGATTAGAGTTCGTAGAATAAAGGGTTAACTGTTAGAAGAATAAGTTGGCATGTAATTGCAAAATTACTTAGTAGAATGTCTGTTGGGGAAATAAAGTTAGGGCAGATATTAAGCAGACAGTTTACTAGTACTCTAATGAGAGTTAGTTGAAGTTGATTTAAGTGTAAAGTTACTTACAGTGTAGTCAACATAATGTCTAAAGGGGACCATCGAAATAAAGTGTTACCAAATGTTCTTCACACTAAGAAAAAATTGTTCTTTTAAGAATTGGTTTCTGAAAGGTTCTTTGGGATATCCAAAATGGTTTGTTCTTCTATGGAATCACTGTGAAGTCCCCCTTTTGGAACCTTTGGATATAAAAGTATAAAAATACACACATTTACATGTTAAAAAAAAAAAAAAACAGTTAGGAGGAATTCACACGTAACACGTTATTGCTTTTAAAGACTCGTTTTAAAGGTTAAACTTCATAGTTCACCCAAAAAATGAAAATTCTGAAATTTACTAACCCTCAAGTAGTTCCAAACCTGTATGAAGTTCTTTCTTCTGCAGAACACAAAAGATGATATTTTGAAGAATATGGGTTACAGTTAATGGACCTTCCATAGTATGGGGAAAAAAAAAACTATGAACAAGAAGATATTTTGAAGATATATGTGAAAAACATACTATGGAAGTCAATGGGGTCCATTAACTGATGGCCCATTGACTTCCGTATGGGAAAAAAAAACTGAACAAGAAGATATTTTGAAGATATATGGGAAAAAAAATACTATGGAAGTCAATGGGCCATCAACCATCAACTGTTTGGTTATCGATATTCTTCAAAATATCTTCTTTAATGTTTAGAAGAAAGAAATTCATACAGGTTTGGTACAAATTGAGGGTGAGTAAATTACAACAGAATTTCATTTTTGGGAGAACTATCCCTTTAAGAGGCGATTCACACAGAATGCATTTTTTGTGATTAAAACGCGAATGAGAACGGGTATATAAAGACACACTGATCTGACTTCTGCCATCATCCATAGGTTTTGGCATGGAGGCCACGTTACTGCTGGTGGTCGGGTTCTCACACACACGTGCAGTGGCCATCTCATTCCTCATCCTGGCAGTGGGCTTCAGTGGATTTGCGATATCAGGTGACTCATGAGACGGGTGTCTGTCACCAGAGTATCAATCAACATCATCCCTTTGCCATTTTGCTTTGTTTGATTCTAACCTTTCCTTCAAATAACATCATTTTTTTCTTGAATGTTTGTTTGTTGCTCAGTTATAGAAGAAGAATAACAAAGTATAAAGTGCATGATGATGCAACCTGCAATATTAGTTTCTGAAATTACACAGGAGAACATCTAAATAAGTGAAATGTATTTCTGTTTTACAACACAGGATTCAATGTAAACCATCTGGACATAGCTCCTCGCTATGCCAGTATTCTTATGGGCATCTCTAATGGAGTAGGCACCCTCTCTGGTATGGTTTGCCCCCTCATCGTCGGAGCACTTACTAAACACAAGGTACTAAAAACAGGTTATCCTTGTGCATAGAGAACCATATGTATTATTTTTCTAACCTAAGAGATAGAAGCCAACGCAACTCGTCTTTTTCCTTATACTATATAAAGGGAATTTTTGAGTGTGTGAATTATGGGTATTTAAATAGATGACATGAATATTTATAGCAGTGTTGCTTAAAGGGATAGTTCACCAAAAAAATTTAGATTCTGTCAGTATTTACTCATCCTCATGTTGTTCCAACCCTGTAAGTCCTTCGTTCATCTTCGGAACACAAATTAAGATATTTTTGATGAAATCTGAGAGCTGGATCACTCCTGCATATAGTCCATAGGCTTCTTGAGGGATTGAAACTTGCCGGCCTCGAAAAGTTATTAAAGACATCGTTAAAATAGTCCAAGTGACAACAGTGGCTCAATCTTAACTTAATCAAGCGACGAGAATACTTTTTGTGTGCAAAAACAAACAAAAATAACGACTTTATTTCAACTATTCACTTCCTTCTCTATGGGCCTCTAGTCAGTTAACGTAGTATGATAGCGTAGAGCTACGTCACACGTAGGCTCACTATTGGCCGACGCTGGTCATGTGTGTGATGCGTGTGACGTACATCAACAGAAGCTTACGCTATTAAACTAATAGTAACCTGACTCGAGGCAGAGAGAGAAGTGAATGAATAGTTAAAATAAAGTCATTATTTTTGTTGTTTTTTTGTGTGTTCTCGTCATTTGATAAACTTAAAATTGAGCCACTGTAGTCACTTGGACTATTTTAAAGATGTCTCTAAGAACTCTTTGAGGCCAGCAAGTTTCAATCCCTCAAGAAGCCTATGGATCAATCAAATCAAAAATATCTTAATTTGTGTTCCGAAGATGAACGAAGATGTTACGGGGTTGGAACAACATGAGGGTGAGTAAATACTGACAGAATTTTAATTTTTGGGTGAACTATCCCTTTAACTCGTCGGCCAGGGTCCACTAGGGGGCCTCAGTAAACTTCCAAGGGGGCCTCAAGTAAAAAAGTATTTAAATGAATAATAGTTATTAGTATATTAATATTATTGATCTCTAATCTAAACTAAAATATGTAAATTGAAATTTATTTGTTAAATAGTATTAGATCAGATGTAGATCATCAGTTTTATTTTACTTTGGAACAAAGCACTCCAATACATTTCTGTCTTCAACAGACTCGCCTGGAGTGGCAGCACGTGTTTATGATCGCGTCCATGGTGCATTACACTGGCGTGATCTTCTATGCCATCTTTGCCTCTGGTGAGAAGCAGGACTGGGCTGATCCTGAGAGCACTAGTGATGAGAAATGCGGCATCATCGGGGAAGATGAGCTAGCTAATGAGACCGAACCCAGCAGCGACAGTGTCCTGGCGACCAAGCAGAAGACCTATGGAACAACGGAGAACTCTGCAGGCCGCAGGCAAGGCTGGAAGAAGAAGAGAGGCGTGACCATGCAAGCTGACGAAGAAGATCACGGATCAAACCATTATGAAAATGGGGAATATCAGAACCAGCAATGACATTTTGGTTATCGAACGCCCAAGACTGAAAGGTGAGGTGTAGGAGTATTTAATAAAGTAACTGCAGAAATAACCCCAACCAGGGGCTACAGCATTTCAACTTGACGTTTGACACAACAGTAGATTTGAGTTGTGAAGAAATATTTCGGATGGCTTCCTTAATTATTTCACCCAGCTGTAGATCCTGAAGGAAGAGTCACATGACACAGATCTGAGTAGATAGTTTGACATGATGGAGATTTGTAGCCATGAAGAAAGTTTCAACTGGAGTCTACGCTATCATTCTAAAGTTTTCTTTTTTTGAAAGAAATTCATATTTATCCAGCAAGGATGCATCAAATGGGTCAAAAGTGACAGTAAAGACGTTAATAATGTTACAGAAGATATAAATGCTGTTCTTTTAAACTTTCTTTTCATTGAAGAATCCTGAAAAACGTATTACGGTTTCCACAAGGAATGAAGGATCATGTTTTATGAATGATTTCTGAAGGATTGGAATGATTCAAATGAAATTAGAAGGATCATGTGACACTGAAGATTTGAGTGATGGCTGCTTTGAATGAATAAATTACATTTTAAAAAAATATTAAAATAGAATACAGATATTTAAAATGTAGTCTATATATAGTGGTCCCAATTGGTGGATATTAAAGTGACACTTAAAAATGTCTGAATGCCTTTGCATTAGATAGTAAATATCAAAACGTGGCATTTGCTATCAAATAACTCTAGACCTTTTCTCAAAACGGATTTCACTGTTCGGTGCGTTTCCCGAAAGCATCGTTAGCCAACTATGGTCGCAAGTTCCGTCGTTATCAGCCTAGTTCAACGAGTCGGTGTTTCCCGCAACCATCGTTCCAACGAACATTCGCGAACAGCATCGCAAAGTTGGGTGGTTTGAACAACAGCTCTCGACCTGTGGTTAGAGGCATCGTTTCTATATTGCAACACATTTAAAGGTAATAAATCCTTATCTTGAGCAAAATAAGCAAGTTGACATTCAGTACAACCGGTGCCATTTATTTAGAATTCATTCAAATGGAATTTACGTCTTTTAGTTTTTCAAAAGATTTGAAGTAAGGTGTTTGAAGAGTGCGCATGTGCGAACGTGCTCTACTATGTAAGAACGAGCCGAATATTGAGTTTGGTGATAAAGCAAAATAACTGAGAACAATTTGAAATAGTCCTCAGATGACATGTCTGTAATTTATTAACAAATAGCGTTAATTGGATCTCAAACAGTTTAATTAAAAGTAGTTATTATTACTCCACCACGTGCGAAACCAACGTGGTTGAACGATACTTTGCGACAATGGGTTTCTGGAAACAGTCGCGACTAACTAGTTGATTTCTCCAACGATGCATCGTAGCTACTATGGTAGTGTAGCAGCGAGTTACATCGTTGTACGGGAAACGCACCCCAGAACTGTTATTTGCAGATAGTCCTAATAGTGTTTATAGCCTATAACTTTTTTTGAATCGTTTGTTTAAAGTGTGCTTGTGCTATATTTCTAAACCTTTCTAATTTAAGTGTCACTAGATTTGATATTTTTTTTGTACCTATGCAATGACATTCATACATTAAGTCTGGCTTAAGTGTCCAAATACTTTTGAGGACACTGTAATTTAGTCTGGCAACAGAACAAAGAACAAACAAATGCATTGAAAAGCTTTACAGTAAAATAGAATAAATTAAACTTAATTTTACAGTAAATCTTAATTTTGTTCTAAAGGCTTTTTATATCTACTGTATTATAAGGCTGACAGCAAAAAAATGCCTCAATTCTTTTTTACTTGATTATGTTATGTTTTCATTGTTGTCAGCTATGCAAACAAAGCAGACGTAGCCTATAGTTCATTTTCCATGGCTTTTCTTGCATGCAGCTGTGCAGCCTCCACAAACCTTTTTGCTGGTTTTGATCCTTGTGTTATCCAGAAAGTTAATAATGGTCTGAAAAGGGATGAGTATCTAGTAGAACGCCTTTGAAAACTGCATATGATCACCTTTAATATCTCATTGCTCAGTTTATCGTTTACATAATGTTTAGGTGGGCGAGCATGGAATGAAGTTTATGTTTGGTTGAAAATGTAGAAATTAACCATTTTAGTACCGAAGAACTTGAATATGGTTTTCATAAAAGAAAAAAAAATCCGCGATGTGCCTGATTTTTTTTGCACAATACCGGTTATGAAAAGACATTTCATCGCTTACATGGATGTTAAGTAAGATGATTGTTTGAAATGTGCACTTTACCATTGCATCATTGTAACTGATGTCTCTATAAGTGTTTATTTGGAGGAGAATAAAAAAAATGCTTTCAATGGATCTTTTACTTTAATATGTTTAACATTGCCGGCTAGGATTTTAATACAGCTCAGATTACATTCATAATTCATTCTGTTTGGCACATGACATTACAGCAGCGGTTGCTCTTCTGTTTAAACAGCATCTTACATTATTAATGAGTCGAGTGTGGAACAAAAGAAATCGAAGTACACGTAACCGAGACTTCTAACTCACGCCATGTTCTTTCTCAGAGAAAATAGATGCTTTTCAAACAGCTTGTTTACACTGGGATTCTTAAATTAGCTCATTTTGTCTTTGTTGGGAGCTAACAGAACTTTCCTGGTTTCTGTCATGTGGGAGTAAACATCCTTCACATTATCGCTATTCTTAAACACATGTTCACACTCACAGCAGCATTTTACAGTGTACACAACAAATTAGTCTGACCACCCAAAGCTTCGTGAACTACTTGGCAACAAATGTTATTTTTTAATAACCTCTTTATTGAGACATTAAAATGACTCTTTGGCCGCTGTCAGTCCAAATCCAATTATTTGGGTATCCGATCTAAATCTTTGACTCTCCACATTGTGTTTTGCAACTGTTTAGATCCGACTTGTGTCCTTGCTGCTCTTCCGTTTACTATATCTGCATTGGTTTCTATGGCAATGACAATGAGTTGGTAGGTATATGCCTACAACAACAGTAACATTAAGGGGTTTGCAATAAGATGTCTTATTAACAACATGACAATAGCTGGACTACTGCTTTTCTGCTTGTCTGGCACTTTTTGCAACAACAAAACCTTGTTTTTGCAGCAACTTTTAGCAAAGTTAAAAAAAATATTTTCATAATTTGTAATCACAACATATTTTCTTTTGTCAAATCAACTTAAATAATTTATGTAGTTAAGATAACATAATATTTTGAGTTTCTAGTGATTAAATCAATCTCCTTCATTGTATTAACTTAATTTTTCCATTTCAGTGAACTTAAAATCAAGGCAGCCAGGTTACTTCTTAAGTTACTTAAGTTAAACCAAATTTTTTTTTACAATGTTCATTTTCCCTGGCGTAAGAAAGTCACCTAAACAACGCAAAATTCGATCAGAGATGGATATTTCAATGAAACTTGAAAGGGATTTGTGTGATTCATGTGATATATGGCAGTTCACTTGCTCAGATCTGATTTCAATCGGATATGCACAAAAATAATATTTTTACTGACAGTCTGAACATAATGTCACAGAAAACTGCTGAGCTTAAAAAAAAGTGTACACTGTACAAAAAATATTTTCATGATTTTTAATCACAACATTTTTTCTTTTGTCAAATCAAGTTTGATTCTGATGATTAAATCAATCTCCTTCATTGTATTAACTCAATTTTTCCATTTCAATGAACTTAAAATTTTAAGGCAACCAGGTTACTTATTTTTTTAAGTTTAACCAACAAAAATTTTTTTACAGTGTAGTATACATTTCATAATTTGTCCAAACTATAAAAAAAAAAAAAAAAGATTTTAAAATAATAATAAATAAACAAACGTAGTCTACTGAAAAGAGTGTTCTCCCTGGATGGGTTTATTTTAGTATATCATTTATATACTATTATAGTTTTTATTAATATTGAATATTGAAACATTTTATTAATAAAGGTTTATATAGGTTTAATTTATTTCAGTTCGAATTAAAGTCTTAATTTTTTTATTAAATATTTTTTAAAATTTAATTTCAGCTTGATTTCACTAAATAAAAATGTTTTTAATAATTGTATGGATACACTAAATAACCCTGATGGGTTGCCATGTTTATATAAAAAGAAAATTTAATGACAACCTTAATGCGAATTTTATTTTTTCCAGTTTAAGAACATTACAGAAAAACTTTTTATATAACTGCCACCATAAAATGTACAATTAACAGTGCCACCATAATCAAACATGAACTGTATGGTTACTATGTTATTCGGCCCTCAAGATTTAGCTTATTGAAACTCTAGTTCCAGCACAGAGTAAATCAGAATAAATCAGATCAGAGTAAAGTGACACTTCAGCAATGTGTGTTTTCAGTCATTTAATGCACCATCATTTGAAGTGCTTGGTTGACTATATCCTATTACATGTTAACAGGTCTTTTTGGGGTAAATCTTGGGAAAGTTCAAGGTTGTGGACCTTGTTATGGTGTTTAATGGCATTTTTTGTGCCACAGTCCTTGACAGCTCATGTTTAACATGCTGATATGCAGCATCTCACTGGTTTGTAGTAGTTTGATGGTCTTATCTCTACATCTACCTTTTATGATTTGATATGTGGTTCTAAAACAGTAAGCACTTTTTATTTTGAGATTAACTACCAGATAAGTACCAGATTACGATCAAACATAAAGGGGCTTTAGGTGATAGCTCTCCATTATTGTACCATGTAATTACTAAGAATGTATTATAGATAACACATTCTTGCATTTCAGACCTTTTAGTTTGCTTTGGTTTAGGTTTATCAAACTACACACATAGATGGAGATTAAGCACTCCCCACATTCACTTGGACACCTCAATACGACAGCAAAAAGTATTTTTTCTGTGAAATTTCATTTTTTTAAAAAGTGTGTTTAAATCTGTTAAAATGGACTTCTTGTTTAAAAAAAAAACAAGCCTGTGTGTGCCGTGTGACTCACAACTGAAGTGGTGATAGCGTTAAATTTTTTTGATGGAGCCATGAGCGTGTCCTTCACACAAGGCCATCCATGCTCAGAACGACTGCCAGCCTATGGCAAAGGTTTTGTTTATTTCAGAGTGCTGTCTGTTGACTCAGAAGGGCCCTCTTTGGATGGAGCAACAGCCGGTAAATGATTAAGAGCTTGTTTTTAGATACATTTGCAATTATACCGAGATGCAGGACTTCATCACGTTTTGGTCATATTACACCTCACAAGTGGGGTGTGACTCACCTAAATGTCATGGGCATAGAGAAGAAATTGTACACTCTTGATTTTGTATAGATCCTTATAGGGTTCTGTCAGGTGCTTCATATAGAGCTTTTTAAGGGTTTCCACCATTTTATGGACTTACTTTTA